CCTGCTAGATTATAAATTTTATGCACACGTAGCATCTGTGATGCTCCTACCACATTTCCCTCTATTTTAACAGTGTCTGGCAGGTATAGGTACTCTATGGAAGGAATGATCACACTTAGTGATGACAGAACATCAGGAGTCTACTTCAGTAAATTGTAAGGTATATGTTTGCCTATGGATAGGTTGTCACTGCTCTGGGTAGTGTATATAGACAGTGCATACATGTAATTTTTGGGATACAAACTGCCTTTTTATAGGCAGGCAACCCTTTATAGTATTTGTGTATCAAGATAGAAATGAATGTTTACATTCGTGTAAGTTAGGCACAGAATGTTGAGATTTCTCTTGTATAAACTATCCACACAGCAAAATGGAGAGCTATCTGGGTCTCTCCATTGGTTGTCCAAACATAGTGGTCATTAGCAATGTCTGACCCTCTTTGGCAGGCCGGTAGGAGCTGCTAGGATGGGAGACTATCTTAAACAGGTTCTGTTGAATAAGAGTTTCCAACATCATGGCTTCTGATAAGGAGATGATACTTACCATTCACGGTAATGGGTGGTAAATGAGAGAGGAAAATTGAGCCCCTATTTGAAGATGCTAGTTCACACTGGAAGGACTTTCCTGTATGAACCTGTCAACCAGTGCTGGGACATCTGGGTAGGTCTCACAAGCCAGGTATGAGTCTGAGTGAAGCTCAAAGGAGAGATCTGGGAAACAGCCAAGACTTCTGATATTCAGGGCTTTCCTCCTCCAGTCAATTCATCACTTCATAAAGGGAGTCTGCAGAGTAAACCATTCATATTACCCAGCTTGATTACATCAGCCAGCACACAGGCCTCTGGGTTCTACCGTCGCCTTGAGCTGCAGAAAGTCGTTGAGCATCATAATTAAGTGACGTGGGCCCAAAAACATCTGTTGCTTTTGCAGAGTCTTCATGAGCAAGTCTCAGAACAAAAAGAAGCAGGTTTTTTTCTTTGCTTTTTCTTTCCTTTTTCTTTTTACAGATGGTGCAGCTGCATGTGCATGGAGGGAAGGGTGGGCTGGGGGAGGGGCTTCTGTGTGGCTCAAGAAGAAATGCTCTTCCATAAAGGCCCACAAACCTCCCTAACCTGTCTCTGATAGAATGAAGAATGAGAAGGAAATGGCAAGATGCCTTGATTCACCTGAAAGGACGAATTAGTGGACATTTGGAATTCTTGCTCAGTAAATGGTTACAATCCTTCAGATTTTGATCTGTTCTGGTTTGGAAGAAGTAATTTGCAGCATGTGTAAACCCCCCTCACCCGTAACACACACCCTTTTCAGCATAGCAGATGGTAAATTCAGTGGCTGCCAGTTCCATCACAATATGGTTGCAGAAAATAGAAAGCAAAGCCACATGAAGACCCCTGATAGAACACAGCTGGGGTTGGGAGACAGCCTGTGAATCTATTGGTGGTAACTAGAGCATTAGTGTGAGCTGAACTGTATAGAAACAAACCAGCAGAAACACCCCAGGTATGTAGCCTTTGCCACTCCTGACTTAGGCCCTGAGTCTAGCCAGGAATTGGGTTTCTCTTTGTGATCTAGACAAAGCACAGGCATTGTTGGGGGTGGGGTGGGGAGCGGAGTTGGCCAAACCAGCAGGAGTTTGGGGGAAGTCCAAAACAAACGGAAGACCTGGTCTAGAAAAGAAGAGGAACATTCTAGAATCTGCTGGGCAGCAGGCTCAGAGTTAGAGCCTGTATTGTATGGAGTAGACCACTTAGGTGGGAGAAGTTTATTTGAGACTCTAGAGCTTTGGCAAAGGGAAATTTAAATGACCGAAAGGGATAAAGTGTGTTTTACCTGTTAAATTGGTGGGAGCTAGCCTAGAAACATGTTAGATTTTTGTTTGTTTGTTTATGTAAGATAGATTCATCCTTGAAACCTAAATGAAACAATATGACATCTGTAAAAAATGATTTTCAGTTCAGCCCGACTCATTTTGAGGGTGCAGGTCAGAGCATCGCTGGTCTAGTCCTGTGCGCCCGCCTCAGGGTGTGGCAGGATGAGTTGTGTGAACAGAGATGGGCTTTTAACTCTTCAGTAGTTCTTTGAAGACTAAAAGAAAAATCGGAGTTGGTTGCTCTTTTCTTTATCTTTAATGTTTTAAACTAGGAAAGAGCAGAAAATAATACAAAAATACCCAAATGTACAGAATTAACTTACTGTTTTTTTTTTTTTTTTCTGTACTAAGGTCTAGGGTTTGAATGCAGGGCCTTCCTGTACTTGCTCTACTGTTGCTCCACTGTATGAGCCGTGCCTCCAAGCTGTTTTTTTGCTACATGTTTTGGAGATGGAGTCTTGCAGACTGTTCTGCTTAGGCTGGTTTCAAACTGCCATCCTCTGGTTCTGAGCCTTCTGAATAGTTAAGATTTGCGGGCATGAGCCACCAGTGTCCAGCCTTAACTGTTTTGTTTTTAAATTTTTAAAAAATGCTTGGTGCTGGTGGCTCACACTGTAATTCTATTAGCTACTCAGGAGGCTGAGATCTGAGGATCGTGGCTCAAAGCCAGTCCTGGCAGGAAAGTCCATGAGACTCTTCTCTGCAGTTTACCACCAGAAAACCAGAAGTGGTACTGTGACTCAAGTGGCAGAGCACTAGCCTTGAGCTGAAGAGCTGAGGGACAGTGCCCAGGCCCAGAGTTCAAGCCCCAAGACCGACTTAAAAAAAGCATTCATGAGGAGTGGTAGTCATTAGACACTATGTTGAAAATGAACTATACAACTTGTGGGTGGGGATGTGAGGGAAAACCCGAGAGTGCGAGGAAAGGGGTAACATTGTCCAAAAAGAAAGGTACTCTTCACCTGACTTACATAACCATAACCCTTCTGTACATCACCTTTGGAATAACAATAAAAATTTTTAAAAAACATTTGTGGATGCTGTGGATAAAATTGAAGATTTCTTTAGGCCTATTTTCCTCCTGTCCCCTAAGGGACAACTGCTGTTATAAGTTTGATTATATATTTTGCCATTTTACCTGTTCATATTTTAATATACCATGTATAATACATATGCACACATAGATCATAATGTATCATCTTTTTATATATACTCTATTCTTTGTGTACTTAAGGTATCATTTGATATATATTCTGCTGTTACTTTTAATCAACATGGTCTTTGAGACTTGTATTGACATACAAGTTTGATTAACTCATTTTCATTGCTGTGTAGTTTATTACATGAATAAGCTAGACTTTTTTTTTGGTTAATCTTGGGGTTTGAACTCAGAGACTCAAGCTTAGTCAGTTTGCTAGGCTGGCATTCTACACTTGAGCCAAGCCTCCAGCTCATCTTTTTGTTGGTTAATTGGTTATCAAGTCTTGAATACTCTGCTTTGGCTGGTTTTGAACTACAGTCTTCCATATCTCAGCCTCCTGAGTAGCTAAGAATACAGGTGTGAGCCAAGGGTATTTGACAACTTATTGTCATAATTGCCAAACATTTTGTACTATTTTGTGCTCATTATTAGGTACCTATACACTAGAAGAATTGAATATTTAGAATTTTGATAGTTTAGTTTCTAAGTATACGTACCAGTTCATCAACTGAAGAATGTGAGCTACCAGATTTTGACATGACATTTTTTTTTTTAGTCCAGTCTAGTAGATGAGAGTCTCACGGTTCCTTCTTTCAATTAAAAAAGTTTTTTTTTTGCCAGTCCTGGGGCTTGAAATCTAGGCCTAGGTGCTGTCCCTGAGCTGCTTTGTCTCGAGGCTAGCGCTATACCACTTGAGCCACAATTCTACTTCTGGCTTTTTGTGAGTAATTTATTAGAGATAAGAATCCCACGGACTTTTTTGCCCAGGCTTTGAGCCGCAATCCTCAAATCTCAGCCTCCAGAGTAGCTAGGATTACAGGCATGAGCCACTGGCGCCCGGTGAGAGTTCTCCTGTTTTAACTTTGAGTTTTCAAATTACTTGGTGCCATCACAATGTTTTGACCACTGAAATTTAAAATTTAAAACATCCAACAAGGCTGCAGATGTCCATTATGGTAGAATGCTTGCCTACTGCACTCAAGGCCCTAGGGTATGATCCTCAGTGCTACAAAAAATATATTTGTCTGACATGTTAGGAATCCAGCTTAGTGTTGTGCCTTATTTATATACTTCTTTTAAAGAACAAGGTATTACTAGAAGATTCACTTTTTAAGGATTACCTTAATAGTTTAATTTTAACTCTCTTTTTAAAAAGCTTTAGGCATCCTTTGAAGAAAAACATCCCTGTTTCATACTTCCGGATAAGAGTTTAGTTCTCATAATGAATACCTGTTTTTATATAAATCATTAATGCTCTTAGCACTTGTTGAAATGTAAGATACTTGCTTCCATTACTAGTGTAATGCTTTGATTGTTACTCCTGCTTGTTTATGGTCTTGCCAGCTAAAGTCTCTTCAGTGAACACCCCGACCTCTTTTGAATAAAATGTCAGTTTATATTTGGGAATGTTTTGCCTCCTCTCCTTTTTATTTCCCACCTTTTTCTATTCAAAATGCTGAAGACATGAAGAACACTTTTTGTTGGGTGAGAGAGGGCACAGTGGTGTGTCAGCACTTTTTCTTCATTTGCTTGTCCTCCCATTTGTTTCCAAGATGACATCAGCATTGTGGGTGGTTAAAACCTGACACGCAGGAGCAGGGTGGTCACTGTTTACCTTCCCCAAAATGAAGCACAAGCACTGCTCTAAAGAGAAAATACATTTGAACTCAAGGATGGCCTGTTGATCTGGTGTTCATACAATGAGGGTAGGGAGTCTCGTTATATTAGAAGATCCACGAATATTGGCCAGATACAAAATAACTACCTGTACCATGCTAGTTAAGCAATACACAAACCATGTATCATTAGAGTTCATAAGACACATTTTGTTTTTAAAAAAATTGCTATTGCTTATGTTTACTTTTGATGCTCACCTTTCGAGACTTAAAATTTATGAAGTTTAACATTTCCCTTTTTTTCTCATTTCAGTGTGACAAAATTAGGCAAGAACGAGATGAAGCTGTTAAAAAACTGGAAGAATTTCAGAAAAGTACGTAAGCATTTCAGTGAAAATAGTACAGACACATAACTTTCGGAATTGTTCAATAGGCAAGAACTTGTTTATTACATTAGGCATGCAACCAAGAAAACAGAAATTGTCCCATTTTCCCTGGAATTACTGTGAGTTTTAGAGAAATGCAGTGAACATTATTGTTATTATAAAATCTTGAGCCTGTTATAAGAAAACTTTGCTATATTAAAAAGTCAAAGGAAAGCAAAAAATGAGTTTATTTTGACTCCTTGAGAGAAGTCAGTGATAGTATTTTATAGTCTCTCCTTTCTGGCTTTTTTATTTGTCTTCTATATCTTTTACAGAAAAAAATTTTTGCATTCTATTTTGTAGCTTACTTTTTTTTCTGGTAAACTGTATTTTGTCATCTTGGTTTGTTTGTAGACTGATGCATCAGTTTAAATTGTTAATGGTTTATATAATAGTACCATAATGTATTTATTCCATCATCACTTTATTTGTTTTTTAACTTTTATAAATAATACCTCAGAAAATATTCTTACAGCTTTATAGTAATCTGATTAGTTTTCATAGGTTAATTAGGAAGAAAGGAATAACACTAGAGTTCTACTGTACAGCTTTGGGTCCATAGCTAACACAAGATTTTGTACTTAAAAGTGTCTTAAGATTAGAATAGATCTTACGTTAAGTGTTCTAAAATAAATAAGGGTTGAGGATGTAGTTAAGTGGTAGTTTAGCACTTTGCTGAGCATGTGTCAAGACCTAGGTTTGATCCCCAACACTGTAAAATAAATAAGATAAATAAGTAATGAAAATGAGTAGAGTAGAAGGGAACTTTGGGATAGGTATGGCCATGACTTTGGTCATGGTCATAGTTTCACACGTGTATACTTAAGCTCAAATTCATCAAGTTATGTTACTCACAGGGCACTTATACCTCAATAAGATTTTTTTTAAGGCAAAGCAATAACAGGTTTGCAGAGTTTAGACATTCTACAAGCACACGTGTTTGAAGTAGGTCTTTCCCTATGGCAGGTTTTAATCCCATAAAAGCTGCAATAACTGTCTTCTAAAATTTTGGTATTTTTTAAATGTGTCATAAATCTGGTATTTATCTTCCAAGATAGAACATAACCAATGAGATCCAGAATGTGAGATGGGAATAGAAAGGAGGCATGGCAGGGCAAATGCTCCTCTCTCGGAAGAAAGGCCCTTCTCTGTCATTCTCCAGAGGTGATGCTGTATCGTCAGGCCACTTGATTCTGTCATAAAACCTTGACTGGGTAACTACACCATGAATCATTTTACCCTTCTGGAAGGTGAAATAGCTGTAAAAGTGCAGCCTTATAGTTAAATAACTAGTGTATTCAGTACCTGGCTCTAACCAAGAAAAATCTGAGAGTAATCTAGTTGGTGGTGTTGCCTGTCTGAGAGACCAGTGTGCTGGAATAGAAATACCCCTTATTTGTGAATGCATGACTCACAATTGCAGGAGCCTTTCTCCTTCCTTAAAGTAGGGGTGATGGGACTAGGCTTACACTGGTGCTGACACTGCGCACATTTGAAAGACTGATCCAGTTCCACCGTTACATCTGTTTGAATTATTAATAGTGGATTGGTGTATTGTGTGCAGTGAAGATAGTTCAAGTTTCCTGTGGTAGGATTTATCACAAGATGTTTTGATCTAGGTAGATAGAAGGGATTTGGTCTCCTGCATTATGTAAAATGAGTAACACTTTTCATCTATCATTTCCTTTTTCCTTTTGTCTTCTAAGTACCTAGGGTAGTTAAAAAAAAAATTTCTCCCTAGAAGCAACTCAGAGTAAGACTTGTAAGGTTAGTACAATAATACCATTCATTTAATTTTTCATTTTATTAAGCCTGCTTAAAAAAATTTGGATGGCAGGAAAATGACTATTATTTATTTGGTCTTGAAGCAAAAATAAACAAACAAAACCCCCAAGCAACAAAAGACAGTAGGAAGTAAGAAAACTTCAGATATTTCTTTAAAATTATATCCAAGATAAATGGTTCATGGCTTTTGAATGGACTGTAGGGCTGGAAATCTGGGAGAGAATTGCTAGACTGTATTACTACTGGAGAGCCCCAGAATTTATGTAGCCCTAAGAAAGTTTCTGCATCAGTAAAGTTGGGATGTTCGACCATGCTATGTAGATGGGAGGCTAAAATGAGAGAATGCACACAAATAGTATCAACACTGGATCTGGAGTGTAATGAGAACTTGATCTGTTTTAGTTGCTCTTGCCGCCATTTTAACCTATGGAAGTATCCAGTGCCCAAACTCCACTCAGTATTGAGTCCATTCCATTAACAGTTAGGAAATTGGTCCTGTACAAATCTGCACATTTGCATACCTGGGGGGGCGGAGTTTCTTTTGGTAAACAGTTGAAATCTGAAATCCTTGTGCTTATTTACCTGCTTACTTATTTCTCGAAGTGTGAGAAGAACATGTTGAGTAGGATTCAGGGAAAGCTTTGTCAGGCCATCAAGCTCTGCTCGCCCTAGTTTAGTCTGCCTTTTCTAGGGTAAATATGTCACTACCCATATTTCATGCCACTCTTGGCCCTCTGCCAGTTCCCCCTGAGCCCGCCTCCTAGTCTTTCTACACAAAGAACACTCCCCAGAGCAAAGCTGTGTGCCCTGGAGGCCAGATTCCCATGAAAGGAGAAGTCACTAGAGTCCTTTCTCATTGATTTGAGACCACAGCATTAGATCTTGTGTTCTATTTCAGGGCACAGCAGACCACCAACCACCTGGCTGCTTTCTTGCCTCATGAAAACCTGTCTCAATGATCTGACCTTGAAGGAGAATTTGTGTTATGTGTGGGTTTTAGAGAGGAGTTTTGCTCTGAAAGCAACACCATTGGGGTTGACCTTTAACTAGACTAATGAAAGAAGACTGTGGAAAAAGGGAGTTGTCTAGAAATGGTCTTGGCTGGGCTTTCTCAGTTGAAGCTCTGTTCTTTGGAATGTTACTTCTCTGGGCTTCTGGTGTTGTGCAGAGACAAGTTGCTATGATGATCCCCTTTGTAGGATGCGATAAGGATTCCTGGAAAACCCACATGAAGGATCAGCATGAGGCTGGACAGTCAGGTTTACTGACAGTGAGCACTCGGATAAGAGGATGTGCACAAGCCAATGTAGCCTGATAGGTTTTTCAGTCCTTCAAACAAACACGAGTACCTTCTTGTGTTGTTCTAGACACAAGGGAACCAGAAATGCATGAAGCAAAGTTCTGCTTTAATATTCTGTGAATAGAACACAGAAACAAATTCAAACAAGCAAACCAAACAAAAGCCAGTTATCTGCAGTGTGACCTGCATTCAGTGATGTATATGTAGGAGTACAGTAGTTTGAAGTCACAGAGGAAGGATGTACTGCTAATTCAGCTAGCTGAGGCAAATGATGGTTGGCAGGCTTTTAGGCTATACTTTTGAATTCACAGGATCTTAATTATTTTTTTCTTTTGGTACCAGTCTTGGGGCTTGAACTCAGGGCCTGGGTGCTATCCCTGAGTTTCTTTTGGTCAAGGCTAGCACTGTATCACCTCAGCCAGGGCTCTACATCTGGCTTTTGTTGTTGTCTTATATATGTATCTCACACTTTTTTGCTTGGGCTGGCCTCAAACCAGGAACCATGCTACTTAGATCTCAGCCTCCTGAGTAGCTAGGACTATAGGTGTGAACCACTGGTGCCTAGCTCTTAATTTTTTTTTCATGCCAAGTGTCAAAGTTATTCAAAAGTGAGAAAATACATACGAACCTTCATGTGTCCTATCAACCAGCTGTAAATAGTTACCAATGCAAACCTGTCATCTTGATTATTTGCTTGCATATCTACTCGTACCCACCTCATATTACTATAAAACTGATGCCAATTGTTGTATTATTTTAATATTTGCTATCTATGAATATTTCAGCCAGAATTTCTAAAAGACTAGTTTGTTTTCAAAGCATAACTGCAACATCAGAGGACTTTACTTAAGCTTATCTTAAAAAAAAAAAAAAAAGGACTTCTTGTTGTCTGAGACTCAATTGTCACCAGCACAGTGGCTGCGAATTAGGATTTTACAGAACAAGCTTACATTCAAGACCAAAAGGTCAGTTATTACATGAACAGCCAAAGCTTTTGTATTTTCTTTTTTCTTTCTTTCTTTTTTTTAGCTTTTGTATTTTCTTTCCTCTTTTTCTCATCTCCCTTCCATTTTTTCCTTTCTCTTCCCTTCTTTTTCTTTTCTTTTAGTTTTTTGAATTTCAGTTCTTCAAAAGGTACATATTTTTTGTTTTGTGTCTTGTGACTTGACTTTCGGGTTTGGAAATGAGGTTATATATTTTTTTCAAGATGTAAATTGCCTTTAAAATATATTATTCCCTTTTGAACTTGGAAAGTTGATAGGCAGGTTTCTTTGCTTACCAGTTTAGCATTGGGATAATAGTTTTTTTTTTCCCCTCTTTTTTCCTTCTTTTTCTTCCTCTTTTCTTTTTAGAAATAAGGTCTTAGTATGTAGACCAAGTTGACCTTGAACTCACAAACATTCTTCCTCAGCTTCCTGAACACTAGGTTTATGGGTGTGTTCTACCAAACATGACAGGTTGGGATAGTTTTTTAAACTAAATGAAGCACAATTTAAAGATTTCTTCTGGTCCCCCTTTGAGAAAGACATAAAACCCCAACCTGATAGAGTACACAAACTCCAAATTGGAGAAGATGTTAGTGAGTCCTACCTCGCCATGTTTATCAAGTTAAATCACAGTGTAGCTCTTTACAAAATGTTTAGAGAAATGAATGTTTCTTTCTCCTCCCTTTTCAATCTTCATGCTAGGCCCAAACCTCACCACTGCAGAATGATTTTTCTTACGCTTTCATGAGCAAGAATGTTATTGAATAAAAAAGTCAAATTCCTGTGAAAAATGCAGAGTGTTTATGTTTTTGTTATGAGAGTAGAAATACCAGATTGTGGCAGAAGATGTCAAGTAGTTAAGGCTAAAAATTCAAAGTAATATTTGATGTTGTAAAAAATTGTATAGGTTTCTTTTCTCTTTCCTTCACATTTTTGAAGAACCTACCTTGTAAACATAGTGATAAAATGCCAGGAATATTAGGATTTTAAGGAAATAATAGAGCCTATTATTTAAACTACAATATAAAAGGCAATTATATTGATGAAGAGCTACATGGGCTTTGTGTGTGTGAATAAACTTGGCCTGTGTTCAGCTTCTATTTGTTCTTCTGGCATAAACACATATTGTGTGTGATTCCACTTTAATGGGGACCCGTTTGTATGCCAAGCAGCTGCATTTTAGGACCTATTGCGTGATTTCATAGCTCTCTGAAAATTGGTTCTATTCAGAACAAGAGATAGAAGAGGACAAGGAGGGGGGGTGGTGTGGAGGGGGGGAGCTTCAACACACAATCATTTCTTTTCAATTGGAGCCAGAAAGGTTGATGACAACATGACCATTGTGTTATAATGATAAGACCGCTAAGGCATCTGTACCGCTCATCAAGGCTTTCACTCCGCAGCAGATACAATTTAATTCACTGCTCCGTCAGCAGCGCTGATACCATTATGCCGTCTGTCTGCACAGTTATAATCACTGTCCTCTGAGAAATGCAGTTGGAAATGATCTTGAGCAGTCAAAGAAACTCTCAATTAAGGCTGCCACTTCCAATGTGTCAGATTGTGTCTTATGCACTTGGTACAATTTTCACTTCCAATCCTGTTTATTTACAATGTCTACCAGTAATTACGCTTAACGTGTCATTTAGTGAGGGGGGCCCCTGCCAAGCCGATTGTTGGGTGCTGCTGTACCATTGAGTGGGAGTTTCTCGAAGTCAATGCCATCAGCAGCTTTTAGGCCCTGATGGGATGCAGTAGTGATGTTGATAATGCAAGTATCGTGCTCATCAAGTCATAATTAGATGCCACTCAAATGTGCCACTTGTAATAACAGTGTTGATTCATGTTTTTCTCGGTGACTGCAACTACTAATTAGTTAAGTGGTTTTTGGTTGGCCTGCATTTGCGGCAGATTATTATTACCCCTGAAAAAAAAATGTCAAGGTTAGAGATGTTTCTGGCCATTTAGTGCTGCTTTATGAATTTGAATATTAACATAATAAGAACTTTGGGCAGACTTAGGAAGTAATACATTTTTTTGTATTTAATTTGGAGAGAAAAATTTTTCCCCTGAGTTTAATTATAATTGCAGGTTAATTAAGCGTAAATGAAGCAAAAGTAATCTCTCTTTGTGTTATGTGAGCCCAGTGCTTTTTTTTTTCTTTTTTTTTTTTTGCCTAACTTTGTTGGGTTTCACATTTGGATGAACTCTAATTTTTTTTTTAAAGCTAAACAAATGTCAATTAAGATACATGTCTACAGTATGTCTTAACTAGAAATATGGGTGGGAGGAATTGACATTTTTCTTTACTTGATTTTCAAAGTGTAGTTCAAGTTCTAAACTACTGGGTAGCCTTGTCTTAGTTTACATGAGCCAGCTACCGAAAAAGTAAAAAACCTAATTTTTTATGTTGATATCAGGTAAAATTTAGTTTTTCTTCTGATCCTATTCACAGTCTTTTATGCAAATATGAATTAGCACCTGGTTTCATCGCATAGTACATGAATCTTGGCATTATACTTTTTGGTCTTGGGGTTTGAAGAAATGGCAGTCATTCATTTGAAAGATTCTTAGCTAAGTTGCCCTATTGCTATTTTAGCCATAAACTCAATTTATTTTCCTTCTATTTCATATAAGACAGCTTTTCTTCTTAGATCCATATGTCATATCCCGCTGAGGATGGCCACTGTATATGCGGGAGATTCTTTTGCTTAAATTAGCAGATATATCTCTGAAGGTATGAATAGTTACACAGAAAAGAGACTCTTTAGATCTGGCACTAGTAGCTCACACTGTAATCCTAACTACTCAGGAGGCTGGGGTCTTGATTATGGTTTGAACCTACCCAGGACAGGAAAACCCATGAGATTCTTATCTCAAGTTAACCACCAAGAAGTGGGGCTGTGGCTCAAGAGGTAGAGCACCAGCCTTGAACAAAAAGCTAAGAGACAGCACCTAGATCCCGAGTTAAAGACCCAGTACACACACACACACACACACACACACACACACACACACACACACACACACACACACACACACACACACACACACACACACACACACACACACTGACCCTTTAAAAAAAATCGAAATAGCTTTTTATAAATGTATGGAATAGTAGCAAAAGTTATTGGATGGATTTTTTTTTTTTCTTTTTGCATTCCGGTATCAGCTGAGATTTAATCAGGATGGCTTCTGAGAAACTTATTTTAATGCTGGCTAAAAGGCCTGCAAGAAATAGAATTGCAGTATTCTTAATCATGGGATGATGTGTGGGCTACTGGAATAGCTAACTAATCTCTGAATGCTAAGACTTTCCCCCTTCATTCCTAGTTTCTCACATGGTTATAGAGGAAGTTAATTTCATGCAGAACCATCTTGAAATAGAGAAGACTTGTCGAGAAAGTGCAGAAGCCTTGGCAACAAAGGTGAGCCTCTTCGAATGGATGATTTGTACCTGAGCTTTCTTATATCACCCCAGTTGTCTAAAGAATGCCGTGTTTGCTGTTTTGCTTTTCTTCCTATCTAGTCACTTATTTGCACTGATGAGGAAGAAAATGTTCTAAGGTCTCAGAATCTTGGAATATGATTATGTAAATACCTGCTTCCATGCAGAGGTTACTTTGATTGTAGAAGATTCATTTATGCTGTTCAAAGCCTGTGAAAAAATGCCCCAGAGTATCTAGTTTGTTGGAAGACTTTCCAGATGTCTTTGCATTTGGTTAAAATGCTACCCAAGTTTAAAACTAACCTGGTGTGACCTAAGCGTGATGAATGTTTTCTGTTTGTATCGGATGAGAATGTCCGCCTCCAGCCTTACATCTCAGGTGATTATTTCTGAAAGCAGAGTGAGGGCATGCGAGAGGTGACCTCCAGTGCTCTGCTGATTGCTTCTAGCTGATGAATTTACCAAGTGTGTAATTTTCTATATTCTATCTCATCAGAAGTGCATTATTATTAAAGAATGTTTTTATCTCTGTCTTCTGTATTTTGGGTTGGGTAAAATGCATCTGAACCGCTTCATCAGAAAATGGATTACAGCAATTTTCAACCAAATTTCATTAGTAATTCCAGTTGGGCTCTTCTCACGCCCCCCCCCCCCCCACTTTCCTTTCCCTCCTGTCACCCTCCTCTGAAGTATTACTTTGGATGTGACTGAAATCCTATTCCAATAAATAATAAATAAATTTAATTCGCATGCATTAGCAGTATCCTTGCCCCAGAGGTTTTTGCTTAATTGTTTGCATAAAGATATTGCATTAGCATTCATAAGCTATGCAATCAGAGCCTAACTAACTTAAGAATATAAATTTATGTAACTTCTCTCCTGTTACTTGCCTGGTAAATACATAGCATTGCAGGCCCTTGCTTGGAAAACAACTATAACCCAGACTCTCTTTACCTCCTTCTTACTCCTATTGGAAATCCTCCTGGATTTCACTGGTCCCAAGATGTCATGTGAATTCTCTTTTCATTTTCTTTATCTCTTTTGGAACAAGAAGAGCAAAAAAATATATTTGGAGCACACTAGCTACTCTGAATCTTCCAGTACCTTAAGATAGTCTCTGTATTTTCTCTTGTTATGAACAAATTTCTGTTGCAGTAGCACAACCAAGTGAGGACATTGACCTCCTTTTTGGGATGGGCCAAATGTGTAGGGAGCAAAGGTTTAGGAGCAATGTATATGTTTCATCCCTGGCTATGTTATTGGTGCATATAGGGTCCTAGCATGGAAGTTCTGTTTCTCTCGGTGCAGTCTCTTGTTAGGGATTCCATGGACTAGAGTTAGGACTGGAACAACTTTAGGAATGGCCTATTTTTTTTTTCATGATGCCTTGTAATTCTTAGTCCACCTATGGGCCCCCTTTAAGAATTTTCTAGTCTCTACTCCCTTTAACAGGTGGGTTTTGGGTGACAGAATTCACGTCTTTATCTGCAATAGCTTATTTGATCTTCATGTCTGTGGAGAGAGCCTATGCACAGAGAGTCTAAGGCTAACTCACATGAACCTTAGCTTGCTGATGGGAAAACAGATACAGTAAGATTAGGTTGGTTCTAGAGACAGAGAGAGAGTTGGTTACTGAGGTAGGTTGTATATAGAATGTTACGTGACTGTGCACCAGTGATTCTTAGTGTTGATGTTCATCAGACTCTCCTGGGAAGCTCTGGGAGAGTCCTGTACAGGGGTTCCAGGAAGGAGATGTTTGGTTCAGGGTTTAACACTGAAACCTTAAATGTTCTCCATGGCTTCTGAAATGCAGCGTTGGAAACCTTTAGTTTAAATATTAGGAGGGAGAATTACAAACTGCCTTGACTTTCCCCCCTTTTTTTCTTAAAGTGGTCCTTTCTATAAACATTCAGAAAGATGGCACAGCTTGGGAATTGCAAGAAGGCTTTCATTTGTGGAGGCTGTGCTGTAGTGTTCATGGTTCAAAGTACCCACGACATTTGCCTGAACTTTGCATCCTGAGGAAGAGAGATTTGAACCCACAAGGTTCTTAGCCTAGATCCTCTAGTCTAAAGTAGGGAGACAAAAGCTGGGGCTAGAGAATGAGGACAGGATAAAGGTGTGTTGATGTCCTGAGCAGTGCTTTCCAGTCCTCCCAGAAAGCACCGGTGTGCAAGGGTTCATGGCCTTTCTAAAACCTTGTTCTTAATTTCCCAAAGATTTAGGGAAACCATTTGGGCTCTATAACATGCCACTTGGGGTACGTTTAGGCCCCACATTTTATTGAGATATGGGCCACATCTCCCAGATTGAAATGAGCAGTGAGATACCCAGAGGCTTGAATTATGATGATCGCAAATGCAGGGCCAAATTGCCATATTGAACTTAACTCTGGTATAAGGTTTAAATGCAGAAAGAGCAGTTAGCTTCCCATTGAATTATGTTCACCTCTTTCTAGTATTTTTTTTTTTTTTTTTTTGCCAGTCATGGGGCCTGAGCTCTGGGCCTGGGCACTGTCCCTCAGCTCTTCAGCTCAAGGCTAGCACTCTACCACTTGAGCCACAGTGCCACTTCTGGCTTTTTCTGCTTATGTGGTGCTGAGGAATCGAACCCAGGGCCTCAGGCATGCAAGGCAAGCACTCTACCACTGAGCCACCTTCCCAGCCCTCTTTCTAGTATTCTTAAATATAGCACCTGTCTTGGTGGCCTGGCCAGTGGCTTTAGCAAGGAACTATGTTTGTGTTTCTGCAGCCCAGATCCTACTCTACATTAGAGAAAAATAGTTGATTAGTTACTTCGATATGTGTAAATAAGAGAAAGCCTTTTGTTTTCCAGTCTTGGGAAGAGAAAGCATTTTAAAAAACACCTATTTTTCTTCTGTGGATATTGGGCCAAGTTTAATCTTTGTATGTGCTTTATACTACATATTTGTGCACAGAAGCATGTTAGCTAAAGACAGTGATGAATAGTTGAGTAACTAAAGTTAAAAACCCACTCATTTCTTTGCCAGGGAATAATAAATACATTTACAAATTAAGATTCCTTTTTGCTGCTGCATTAGAAGTCTTTTTGAAGTGTTATTCGGGCTCTGAACAGATAGCAGAAATCCATCTTGGACTAGCTTAGGCAAAGAAAAGGAGAAATGAAAGAACAGACAGTATATTGGAGATTCCTATTGGATCTATAAGCCAGGAGCAATTTGGGAATGGGCTGGAGACAAAGACTGAGGCCCTGGGGAGATCCTTTCTCTATTAGTTTTCCCTGCCTCTTTGAACATCAGCTCTATTTGTGGATTGACTGAGACTACTTTCTCTTCTTAACTCTGTAGTGGAATATGGTCATCAGTACCACTCAATAGCCAGACATAGAGCAATTCATTTCTGTCTTCTAGCCTTCAGATTTTTATAGGAAAGAGCTAATTGGCCAAGCTTGGGTCATGTGTCTAATCCCTGGATTGGCTACAGCCAATAAGATGAAGAACATTTTGTTTGTGTGTATGTGTGTATGTTCGTGTGGAAAGTAGTTGGGGGGAAGGGGGTTCCACAAAAACCAGGTAAACAATGAAGAAGAATTGTAATGCCTCCAAAGAGATAGCACTCTGTCAGATTTGTATGACATAAAGCACGTTTATAAAGACAATTATGATAGAAATATTAGTATTTCATCTGAATTCCTTATAGTTCTTATTGGTTATGCTTGCTTAGTATCTTCACTTACACTGGCTGTAATCCAGGTGTCAGGTTTTACTTAAAGTAATAAATTTAATATTAAAATGCATGCATAATGCCCTGTTTAATGAGTTCTAATTGTTATGCCCTGCTGTGAATGTTGATGAATACGTAAGACAAAAATACACTTAATTCGTCTATTGTTTAAAAATCCAAGAACCTCATTTGACTGCTGTTAAAATAACCGTTTTTGTATTTTGTCTTAGCTAAATAAAGAAAATAAGACACTAAAAAGAATCAGCATGTTATACATGGCCAAGCTGGGACCAGACGTAATAACGGAGGAGATAAATATCGACGAGGAGGATTCAGCCACCGACACAGAAGGTGCAGCTGAAATGTGTGTCTCAGTCCAGTGTCAGAAGCAAATCAAAGGTGAGATTCTACACTTCACTCCTGAGAACTTTCTTGAGGCCCATTACCATAATACTTCTTGCTTCGACTGTACATGAGAACTTTAAACACGATAGTGTCTGGCTCTTACTGTCCCGCAATTCTGATTTACCTGATTGGCCTGGGATGTGTATGTGTGTGTGTGGTGGGAGGATGGGGGAGTCCTAACTAAGAATCATGACGGTGTATAACATTTGTGAGTTGCTTTCTTGTTTGGAATTAGGTACTTTTGAAGGTGTTGTCTGTGTAAAAGTAGTCATATACCACATCTTTAAGAGTAAACCATGCACCAACCTTTTTTTTTTTTTGTTTTGGGTCCAGTCGTGGGGCCTGAACTCTGGGCCTGGGCGCTGTCCCTCAGCTCTTCAGCTCAAGGCTAGCGCTTTACCACTTGAGCCACAGCGCCATTTCTGGCTTTTTTCTTTTTGCTTATGTGGTGCTGAGGAATTGAACCCAGGGCCTCAGGCATGCAAGGCAAGCACTCTACCACTCAGCTACCTTCCCAGTCCCCTATTTTTATTATGTGAAAGAAACTATGGATAAAAGTACATGTAGTAGGGCTGGGAAGGTAGCTCAGTGGTAGAGTGCTTGCCTTGCATATTTGAGGCCCTGGGTTCAATTCCTCAGCACCACATAAGCAGAAAAAGCCAGAAGTGGCACTGTGGCTCAATTGGTAGAGTGCTAGCCTTGAGCTGAAGAGCTGAGGGACAGTGCCCAGACCCAGAGTTCAGACCACATGACCAGCAAAAATAAATAAATAAATAAAGTATACATAGTAAAGCCAGGTGCTGGTAGATCATGCTTGTAATCTTGGCTACTCTAGAGGCTGAGATCTGAGGATTGCAGTTTGAAGTCAGCCCAGGGCAGGAAAGTCCCTGGGACTCTTATGTCTAATTAACCACCAAAAAACTGGAAGTGATCATTTGACTCAAAGTGAGAGAGCTCTAGCCTTGAGCAGAAATGTTCTGGGACAGTGAGTGCTCAGGCCTTGAGTTCAGGCCCCGTGACCAAAGGGGGAAAAAAAAAAACTAAAGTCACATAGTTGATCTGGACATTGTTGGTTGACACGTGTAATCCTAGCTATTCAAGAGACTGATCTGAGGACCATGATTTGAAGGCAGCCTGGCTAGAAAACTTCAGTTAACTAACAGAAAGCCATCAATGGAGGTGTGGCTAAAGTGATTGAATACCAGCATTGGGCAAAAAAGCTCACTGAGAACTTGGTAGCTTGAGGTCTTGAGTTCAGGCTGTGCGAGCGCGCGCGCGCGCGCACACACACACACACACACACAAATGTCTCTATAGCTCAAAGTGTAGTTCAGTGATATACATCAAACTCAGCATGCATAAGACAGTTCCTGAACAATGTGCGCACATGCGCATGGGTGTGTAACCAATATGCCTTTCTTTTTTGGGGGGGGGGCTCTTAACTCTGGGCCTGGGCGCTGTCCCTAGCTCAAGTGGTAGAGCGCTAGCCTTGAGCTGAAGAACTGAGGGACAGCACCCAGGCCTAGAGTTCAGGCACCACAACTGACCACAAAAAAAAAAAAAAAAAAGAGAGTCTCATGTACTTTCTTGCCCTGGCTGGCTTTGAACCATGATCCTCAGATCATAGCCTCCTGAGAGGTAGGATTACAGGCGTGAGCCATTGGTGCCCTGCCTCAATATGCCTTTTATGTTGTTTTGGTCTCTTCCTTCCAAGACAACTCTCATTCAGTTAATGAGCTAAAAGCAATATTCAGTAGTAGACAAGCACCACATGGTTGCTCTAAGAAAAGATTACATGTTCCATCTTTATTAATTGTACACAGATTTTATTTCTACACATATAGACACTTGGCTTAAGTTGAAAGAAAACCAGTTCTTGTTAAATAATTATTGGATTGTTTAACTTAGAACACATCCAAGAGCAGTGTTTCTTTCTTGGAAGATAAAACTTCAGATGGAAGTGATTTTACTTGATTCTTCAGTCCCTTGAGCTAAGACAAAATAGAATTTGTTCTGGTATTCAAGTATTTTCTTGTTCATTGTTCGATCTTGAACAATGGGGTCTCATGTTCTTCCTTTTGGAATGAGCCAGCCAGTGGAGAAAGTGATTTAGAACTGAATTTCAAAACTTCTTCAAGCTGGGCTCATGTAAAAAATTTAATTCAGTTTATAAATAGCCACATAGCAGGTTTTCTTACTGCCCTTGGAGAAAGGTAGGAAATTAAAAGCCATTAAAAATGAAGTGACAAAACCCTAGTCCTAGGTATAAACTTAAGTTGTCTGTGTTAATCTGGATATTTTTAAATATTTCAGTGGCAAAAGTAGCTTTAACCTAATGCCAGGAGCTTTTGACTGAGGGTCGCTAATACTTTCATTCTCCTAACACTTTTTTTAAATTAAATTTCAATACTAAAAAAATAGAAACAAATTAAGAAACAAAATACTCACATTTCTGGAGGGAAAATTACTAGCATTAACTCTTCTTTATATTTGCAAGTCAGTTCAAATAATGTTTAAGGGCTATAAATTGGCAGTGAGTCAGGCTCTTTTCCTTCAACTCAAAATCTCCAAGTTATTAACTGCCCAATTGTTTGTTTATATTGTATTGTGGCAAGAGCTCATGGTCATTATGAAATGAAAAAAAGAATCAGTACAATGCCTTAATTTGTTTTTGCTGGAAGCTTAACATTTTTACTCCAAAATGTCAGATAGTTTTTTAGAACGTGGTTAGCTAGGTTGTAAAGAAAACTCCAAAAGTCCTATGAGTCCTTGGTTCTTCATCTTCTTCCTAACTGTTAAATAACCTTGTCTTTAAACTGCATATGAACTGACTTTTTGACTTGTTTTGTCCAGATTGGTTTCTTCTTTGAAAAATAAGTATAATTTCTACATTTTTTCCCTTTAAAAAAATGCAGAACTTCGAGATGAAATTGTATCTGTTCAGGAAGAAAAGAAGAAGCTAGCTATTGAGCTGGAAAATCTCAAGAGCAAACTTGTAGAAGTAATGGATGAAGTATGTATCTCAGGCCGAAAGGCTAAAACCTTTCAGCTTTTTAAACTAAAAGCTAGATTGAAAACTGACTAGCCGAGTTAAACATTTGCTGTTGGAATCTGATTTCTGCTGGGAAAGCTATCTACCAGTTTTCATCTCCTCTCCTCTCTCCTAGTTCAGACTAATAAAAAGGTACAGAAAATAGGATCATGAACAACAGGGACCCACTCTGCAGGTTAATAAATTAGGACATTAAATAGCACTGGCTGCTTCTTGTTGTCCCCTACTACTGCTGCTTTTGGTGAAGAAGGAAGCATTTTACTTCTCCACTGGCTGCTGGTGCAGAGGGGAAGGCTAATTCTCTGCACACTTCCTGCACAGCTATAGATGGCACAAGGAAGAGTGTGTTCAGTGAGGATTTGAAGAACCTTTTGTTTTCCTCCTGAATTGTCATCAAGAAAAGGGCCACACGATTACCTTTTATTTGTACCTGCCTTCATAATCTCCATTCACTTTGCCTCCTGGTTCTCAGAGTCTATAGCCCAGAGTTTCCCAGCCCTTGTGTAGCTCCCTTCTATGGCCTGCAAGGGTGCCAGGCACTGGTCTTGTCACTTGAGTAGCTGCATCCTTCATTCCCACCTGCATGCTCATCTTCCCTGAAGGTGCCACATGAGAAGGTTGAGAAGCAGTGCCACCAGCCTCCCAGCCCCTGCTGCTTTCCCTTTGTTTTGCCAAAACCTTGTTCTTATAGGAAAGAGGGAGGTGGCCATCTTGGAAAGGGAGTTTCTTAGTGAACAGTGTATACCACTTCCTAATTTAAATCCCAAGCAAAACCAGTTCACAGCCTAGAGGTGAGGAAAGATTCAGAACCCCTGGTCAATTCATTATCTTAGTTTCTTCCTTCCTTCCTTCCTTCCTTCCTTCCTTCCTTCCTTCCTTCCTTCCTTTTCCTCCCTCCCTCCCCCTCCCCCTCCCCCTCTTTCTTTTTCTTTTCTTTTTTTTTTTATTGTGAAAATACCATACAGAGGGGTTATAATTACATGGGCAAGGTAATGAGTGCATTTCTTTTTTTTTGGGGGGGGGGGGTCTGGTCATGGGCCTGAACTCTGGGCCTGGGTGCTGTCCCTCAGCTCTTCAGCTCAAGGCTTACGCTCTACCATTTGAGCCACAGCGCCACTTCCGGCTTTTTTTTCTTTTTGCTTATGTGGTGCTGAGGAATCGAACCCAGGGCCTCATGCATGCAAGGCAAGCGCTCTACCCCTGAGCCACCTTCCCAGCCCATGAGTACATTTCTTATCAAGCATTGTTGCCTCCTCCTTTGTTTCCCCTTGCCTTCCTTCCCATCTCCCCCCACCCCTCCAACCTCTTCTCCCCTTCTTTCTTTCTTTAGTTGGTCGTGGGGCTTGAACTCCGGGCCTGGGTGCTGTCCCTGAGCTCTTCAGCTCAAGGCTAGTTTCTGCCACTTGAGCCATAGCGCTACTTCCGGCTTTTTCTGTTTACATGGTGCTGAGGAATCAAACACAGGGCCTCATGCATGCAAAGCAAAGCACTCTACCATTGAGCTACCTTCCCAGCCTGATTTGATACTTTTGGGATGATTTCTAGCATTAAAAATAGACACTGAATGTCTAGAGTGTGAGTACTGTCCTGATGAGGGACAAATGCCATCCATCCAGAATATGGGAGTATGATCAGTATTCACCACACATCCCAACATAAGCAGCCACCCTGCCATCTAGAGAACAGCCAAGCGACCACTGCCTCCTTTGAGGCAGTGCCTCCTGTTTACATTGCCATGTCACGTGGCTGGGAAACTAGACAGCCTTTTGAGCGTCGCACATTGCCATCTGTCCTGTTTCACCATTTTGGACGTTCTCTCTCTTCCACATCTTGCATTTCTAGGTAAATAAAGTTAAACAAGAGAAGGCTGCTTTAAATTCAGAAGTTCTTGAACAGAGAAAAGTCTTAGAAAAATGCAACAGAGGTACGTATGTCTTCCTGGTTTTTGTTCTCGAGTATGTACGTGATGTGTTTTCTGTATTTGTATATGGTATCATTTTACACGGTGCTCTACAGATCCTCATAACCAGATTCTCCTCTCCTCGCTTGAGTCTCCCCAGCAGTGAATTCTTCTCATTCCTATTATTTTTGTCATTGGAGACATTTAAATGCAGTTTCTTTGAAGGACTTAGAGTCCACTCATTTTGAAACTTCAAATAGAAAAACACTTCCTTTGTTCTATGTGTATCTGGGACCGTGGGCATTTTTGCTGTTCCTACAGTGTCAACCTATTTGACAGGTTCTTTAGTGAGTTAGGAAATCTAGGTTATTTAGTCAATCCAGAATTGATTAGGACATCTACAGAAGTACATGCGACATGATTACATTTTAAATGAAGAGGGTGTTTGGGTGGAAAGCGGTCTATGGGAAAGGGCGAGAAGAGTTGGACATGCAACGTATACTTGCTCTGAGCTCTTGTACATTTCTTGTTTGTGTACCTGAAATCTATTTCTCAGCTATCTGCAGTCAACACCATGAACAAACCCAGGGCAAAATTTGATAGTCATGGGGAAAGTCAGACCTGGCCTCATTGAAAGATGGAAGTGTTCATGATGTCTGCTTGCAGAGGGAACTGTATGACTTTGTCAACTGTGACCCATCATCCTTGTCAAACCTAGTATCAAGTCTCCTCCTGTGTAAGATGGGGAATGATGCCAAAGTGCAGTTCTGCAAAAGTCGTTCTAAGGGAGGGGACTGTATTAGTCCATTTTCTGTTGCTATTATAAAATGCCAGAGGCTAGCTGCTTGATAGAGAAGAAAAGGTTCAGAGATTCAAGAGCAGGCCATCAGTCTCTGGCTGTGGTGAGGCCTTCCTTGTTGAGGTCACACCGTGGTGGATGGCATCACCACCGTGGCTGTGTGGCTGTGTGGGTGTGCTAGAAAGACAGGAGGTCATTGCCTTTCGGGGGAGGCGGGCAGTCTTATACTTTTAATAACAAGCCCCTCTGGTGAGAACTCACTCACTCCATGGGTAATCCCTTCTGGGGCTGCTGACTGCACCTCCATTTACCTGATCACCCTGCAGTACACTCCCCTCTTAAAGGCCCATCACCTCTTGGTCCCTCCACCCGGAACCAAATATTCAGCACATAACCTTGGAGAATAAACTACTTCCAAAGCATAGCAGAGAATACATGTGTTGTCCGGTTTCCCTTTTCCCCTTGGCCATTCGATGTAATTAGGTCTGAAGCTCTGATACTAACAGGATATCCTTTATGACCCACAGGGCTTTCATTGTCTTTCATGGTAGTGCACTACCTTTGTGTCATTCCTTGCCTGAGTCTTTGTACTGAAAGGCGCTGTAATTGAGAGTGGAAAGTGGGTTAGGTTGTGGCGTTTCTTCAGGTCCTACCTTCTTTACAGATAGGAGGATTTGCTGTCCTGCTGCGGTGGGTTAGAACAGGGGGCTGTGGGGGTCAGTCATATGGCCCTTGCCTGCAGGGAGCCCCTCCTCTAGGGAGAGAGGATATGTGTGAACAAATAAATACACTATAGGACCAACTTCATGTCTACAAAATCCAAGTCAGCGGGACCTGGTCATGTGACAATTCTCTTTTTATTACAGTGTTCTGGACATAGGAAAGAACGTCAATTATCTAGCCCAGGGCTTCAGACAGTCAGAGTCTTCATTGTTTTCTTTGCGAAATTTCTTTTTTTAAATAGGTTTGAAAATCATTTAGCTCTCAGGGCCCTATAATTCACATCCCAACCTACCACTTACATGACTTTACCTGAGTAAGACTCCTTGCCTTCCGTCTGAGGAGGCAGTAGATTTACAGAGTGCAGAGTTTGAAATTCTATGTCATTAAGCACCAAACCTGTCCTTAGTCAGTTAGGCTTGAAGTGCGCAGCAGAACAGTGAGTGAAAGCAGCCATTAAGGGGGCCTTGGAGAGATGTTATTGCTGTGACTCGGCTCAAGATTGAGGGGAGGCCAGGCCAGAAGCAGACAGAGGCCGTACCTTTGGAATCCCTATGGGTACCACAGCTCCCTCCTGCCTATCTATACCATTTCTTAACAGGGCGGGCCACCAAATGTCAAATGTAGCAAAAAATCACAAGTTGCTTTGATTGACAGGACCTTCATGTTGAAGGCTGATGTCCTCCAGTAATGCTTCAATGCAAAGCTCCATAATGTGGGCCTGAATGAAGCTAAGGCTATTAAAAATGATCAGTTCTTCAACCGGGTCCTGTTGGCTCATGCCTGTAATGCTAACTACTCAGGAGGCTGAGATCTGAGGATTGTGGTTCAAAGCCAGCCCAGGCAGGAAAGTCTGTGAGACTTATCTCCAGTTAACCACCAGAAAACCAGAAGAGGCTCCGTGACTCAAGTGGTAGAGTGCTAGCCTTGAGCTAAAGAGCTCAGGGACAGCGCCTAGGCCCAGAGTTCAAGCCCCATGACTGACACACACACACACAAATAAATTTTTCTTTCTATTTGTCTGCCTGTCTATGCACATACATACATATATGCACATGTATGTAGATATATGTGTGGGTATGGGTATATATATGTATATATTCTTTCTATTGGATAATGCAGTTTTTGTTGGAAAATTTAAATTCATAGAGGAAAAGAAAAAATTTAACCTTTGTAATCTAAAGGTAAATACATTTGATGGATAGATAGATATACAGTGTATATTCTTCTAATCAAAAAAAACAAAACAAAACCGGTATAAGCTGGGTACCTGTGGCTCATATCTATTATCGTTGCTACTCAGGAGGCTGAGATCTAAGGATTATGGTTCGAAACCAGCCTAGGCAAGAAAGTCTGTGACACTTATCTTCAATTAATCACCAAAAAGCTGGAAGTGGAATTGTGGCAGAGCTCTGCTTGAGCAATAACTAAATTCAGAGATACAGCCCAGGTCCTGCATTCAAGCCACAGGGCTGGTGCACATGTATGCACACACACTGTGTGTGTGTGTGTGTGTATATGTATATACATATATATGCATATATATATATGTTTGTTATATATCTTCTAATGTATATGGAAGAAAAAGAATACCAGCAAATGAAATCTGTATCTTTCTTCCAACATAGAAGCCTCTGAATGTCTCTTTATCCTCATACTCCATCCTTGAAGCTTTTATCATTTCCTTTCTCTTATTTGTAGTTTTGCCAAACATACATGTATCCTTAGACAGCACATTAATGAAGCAGGCTTTTCACTTGATGGAAGTGCAGTGATTTTGCATATGACTTGTGTTACTGTTGGTGTTCGTGAGATTCATCCGTGTTGAAGGATGTAGCTGGGACATGTTTATTTTCACTAGTGCATAGTATTTCATGAGCTAACTATACCAAAATTCCAGTGTCTTATTGTCAGATAATGTCTCCAGTTATTTATTTGCTTTTTGCCATTCTGAGTCATGCTGTTATGAAAAGTCTTCCACATTTTTTTTTCTGGAACATATGTCTAAGAGTTTTTCCACAGTGGGTGTCAAATGTCAAGTCTTACCTTCAGTTTCAATTATAAGTAAATCTGCTAGTTTATACTCCTTTTATACTTTTATACTTATAGTTGTTTTGTGTCCTCTTCCCACTTCATAAAAGCCACATTCTACCAATGTTTTCATGTTTACCAATTCCTTCCTTCATGTATAAGGGGGCTTTGTTTACTTTGCATTTCACAAGTTCTAACACAGATGAAAGTCTTTCCTCATGTCTTTCCTGTGCCTCCTCCCCTGTGAAATGCTTTTGAGGTCTCTCATCTGTGACTTTAAAAACAAAAATGAATTTATTTTGCACTAATTATTTACTACTTAAAATACATCACAAGTGTCTTTCTTTTCCATTCCTGTGTTCATTACAATACAATTTTGATGAAAGAGTCATTTTTTTTGTAGTACAGTTTAATTGATGCTTGGATATTAGGAGATTCCAGTGTTTTTGGCGATGATATGAACATTTTTGCAAACAAATCTGTGTGTGTGCTTAGGATTTTTTTGTGTGTAGAGGGGGCAGTACTGAGTTTTAAATTCATAGCTTTACACTGCAAGGCAGATACTCTCCTGCTTTTAGCCACACTTCCAGCCCTTTGGGTTCTGGTTGTTTTTGAGATAGGGTCTCACATTTTTCCCATGGCCAGCCTGGACCCCAATCTTCCTATTTACCTTTGCTACCATACCTAGGATGATAGGTGGGTTTCACCACACCCAGCTGTTGGTTGTGATAGTTCTTGCAAGATTTTTTTTTTGCTTGGACCACTATGGAACAACAATCCTGATCTCAGCCTCCCAAGTCTCTGGTACATGTCTTCACACTCAACTGTGGGTGAGAAAGAGGTCTTGTAACCTTTTGGCCTGGGCTGGTCTTGAACTGTGATTCTCCCAATCTCTACCCTAAGTAGATAGGATTAGATATAAGCACCTTTTAGGAGAGGGATTTCTAGAAGTGGAATTGTTGAGTCAAAGAGTATAAATAGTATTTGTTTATTTTAATCTCGCTAGTACTAGGGCTTGAACTCAGAGCTTAGGCACTGTCCCTTAGTCCCCCCACCCCCAAAGGCTAGTACTCTATCACTTACACCACAGCTACACTTTCACTTTTTGATGATTCATTGGAGATAAATCTCAATACTATGGGATGTCTTTGGACCACAATCCTCAGATCTCAGTCTTCTGAGTAGTTAGGATTGCAGGAACCTGTCTAGCTTTTGGTTTTTGATTGACATTGCCAACATGTCTTCCAGATAGCTTTTTATCAACTTATACTCCAAGTAGGATTGAAGGAGGTAAGTAGCCTGCTGGGCTGTGTGGGCTTCCTTCCAGACTTTTCTACTCGTGTTCTGATCATCTGTGCTGCATACTGCCTCTTGTTTTTTCCTCCTGAAGTGTCCATGTTAGCTGTGGAAGAGTATGAGGAGATGCAGGTGAATCTGGAACTGGAGAAAGACCTTCGGAAGAAAGCCGAGTCATTTGCACAAGAGGTGGGTGTGTGCTAAATACCTCATCTCTTTTTTTTAAGAGGCTCTGCAGGTAACATGGGGGGAAAAAGGTACATTGTCAGATAGGAGGAATAGAGCTCTTGTGTCCTACAGCAGAGTAAGAGAATTGAAATTTACAGTAATTACTGTATGTTTTGTAAAGAACTCAAAGATAGGCTTTTTATTTTGTCAGTTGTGGGGCTTGAACTCTGGGCCTGGGTGCTGTCCCTCAGCTCTTCAGCTCAAGGCTAGCACTCTACCACTGAGCCATACTGCCACTTCTGGTTTTTAGTGATTTATTGGAGATAAGAGTCTCATGGACTTTCCTGCCCAGGCTGGCTTTGAACCATGATCCTCAGATCTCAACCTCCTGAGTAGCTAGGATTACAGGTGTGAGCCACTGGTGCCCGGCTAAGATAGGCATTTTGAAGGTAACCCAAATAGTAAATGTTGAAGGAGATGGAAATGTACTTATCCTGATTTGATCACTATACATTATATACATGAATCAAATTTTCATGGTGTAAATCATAAATGTGCATGATTATTATGTCAGTTAAAAAATTAAAAGCCCACCTTTTGAGGCTGCTTGATAATTTACCACTTTAATGAAGAACCACCTAAATGCAGGAGGCAACTGTGCTGGGTTTGGAATTTTGGTCATGTTGGATGTTGGTTCCGTGACCATCTTCCCTTTCCCCCCAAAAGCTGGCTTTAACCTCTTGGGACTTGTCACTGTAATATGGGTGCTGCTACAAATTGAACAGAGTCGATTTTGGAATCAAATGGAGCAATTAAAACATTTCATAAATAATCAAATACTCTGTACGGAAAAGGAATTGCCTTTAGAGATAGCCATAAGTTGTGGTGAAAGTCAGCTGGAAGACAAGACATCTCTGGGTTACAGATAACTTTGAGAATCAGACCACATCTCCATGTGTCGTCTCAGATCACAGTGAGGTGGGATCAGCCATTGTCTGCTGTTCTCATTCAAGCTGCTTCTTCCACTGTTTGTGGAACACTGCCATGTTGTACAGCCATTGTGTCAGCCTTTCATCCATGTAATCATTTCCCTCTGCTGCTCTAGATAAGCCTTGAGCTCCTCTACTTACACCTGACCTTGTTGGTGTGTGCAGTTGGGTATTCTGTGGCTTAGAGCTGCGCTGCAATGGGAGCTCCACCCTGCATAAATACTTTGAATCGGTCCCTCATATGGGTTGCAGGAAGTAGCTAAGGAAATGTGGAGTACGTAGGTAGTCATAGGGAAAAGTATCCAAGACACAGAAAGAAGATATGGGTGTAATAGAAATGACATTTGACAATCAGATTATGGTTTTGTGGAAGGGCGGGGGGAGCCTTTCTGTGCTTGAGTGTGCTAGCAGTGTTCGCTATGCTAGCAGTGAACTCTCCAGAAGGTTTAGTCCAAGTGCATCTGATTTGAAATATCATGACCCATTTTATTCAAGGGAGTTTAATGAGAAGTGAGTGAATGCTGTTCTCATTTTACTTGTAAGAAAGAAAAAAGAATCCAAGTGTGTCAAGCACTCTGTTGGGAGCGGCAGCAATATAAACAATGTGACTGCATGCACAGTGCCAGGAGAGCGAGGTCTGGTAAACAGAAGGGTAGGGATAAAGCAAAGGCCCCTCCATTGCAAAATTAAACAGATCTGCTAAGCTTGACCCGAATGCCAAGGTGTTATCTCAAGACATTGCAATCTCCCATATGCTGTTATTTCAATGACGTTAGACTACAAAACAGCTCGAAGAAAATCTTGAAGGCCGTGCTATAGCTGAGAAGACAGATGGGAGAAGCAAGATTCCAGGAAGAGGGTCAGAAATGGAGTGATTTCCTCAGCCATTCACCTGGTAGTGTGTTAAGCCTTGGGGATGGGTGGTGACAGTAAGACGGGCCATCAGGCCGACCCAGCGCAGGAGGCAGGAAGTAGGTCCCTGGCTGAGGCGGGAAGGCTTATGTTACTGCTAGCGTAGATATTTACAGTGGTGCCTGATACTTTTACAGTGTCTAGCTTTGGTCTACAAAATAATGAAAAGAAAGCTTTTTAAAAAAATAATAGCACTCAATTGGAACAAGTATGTTTTCCCTTTCCCGTAGATTGCAGATTCTCAGATTTGCAACAAGGTGCACTCACTTTGTTCATGGCTAGCACTCTTAACCACTGGAGCCATACCTCCAGCCCAACATTTTGCTGGTTAATTGGAATAGAATTACAGGTTTAAGCCACTGTACTTAACATTTTTAATTGCAAAAGGAATACATGTATATGCATATATACATATGTATGTATATAAACACATACATTTGGAAAAAAAATATAACCGGTTCTCAAGTATGTTAAGAAACAATTGAAAGTTTTTCCACTTCTACTAATATACTCATTTAAAATAGAACAAAGAACCCAATCTTCCACAAGAAAAAAATTAAATTGTCTTCAGAACTATATTATTTTTAAAATTTCCCTAGCATACTCCCAATTTTTAATATAATGTTCTTATACTTTTTAATATATTTATCTTGCTACTCAGTATAGTGGTTCTTTTTAAAGATATAGATGCTTTGATACGTATTCCCAGTAACCTATAAAACTATTATGCAAATGTTTTTTTCCCTTCTGTATAAGTCAGATAATAGTGGAGTGTTATTTTGTAAACAGTGAATTATACATTAGCAACCTAAGATCTTTCTTCTCCACTCTTCGCAAAGATTTGTGAAATTTCTCAGAAATTCTGATGCCCGCGGGTATCGTTGTCTGATTAGAGACCCACTTCCTATCTGTACCTCATGAACTCAAAGCCAAGTTCCTTCGTGTTTGGTGAATAAATTTTCTTGAGATTTTTTTTTTAGAAGAGTAGTTATTTAGACTTTTTTTTTTAAATATTTTTTATTAGCATCTGTTAGTGGGATGGGGAGGTTTATGTGATACTTCTTTCATGCATATGAGATACTCCATCAAACTCACCACCTCTACTGCTCCCCCAGGATTCATTGTTCTATTTACATATATGCAAATAAGACACTTGGACAGCATTCCCTCATTCATCTTTGTATTGCCACCCCCCCATTCCTGTTGGTAACCCTTACCACACAGCACCTATTTTTCTTGTCATTCATTTTTTTCATCATTGGGAAATGTATATTAATTATACAAAGGAGTTACACCATGGTATTTCACATATTTGCATATTATTCCTTATTCAGATTGATTATATTTTAGTCAGATTTAGAGATTTTGTGTGTGTATGTGTGTGCGCGTGTATGCGTGTGTGTACCTACACTGGGGCTTGAACTCAAGGCCTCTAGCTCTTGCTCAGCTTTTTTCAGTCACAGTGGGGGCCCCTACTACTTGAACCTTGGCCTCCATTTCAGGCTTTTTGATAGTTATTTCACACTAACAGTCTCTCATATTTGTCACCTCAGCTGGCTCGGAACAGTGATTCTCAGATCTTAGCCTCTTGAGTAGCTAGGATTATAGATAGGAGCCACTAGGGCCTAGCTTATATATTTTATATATAATTTTATAATTTTATTTTTAATTTTAGTATCTTGAGGTTTAGAGATCTAAAGACAATAGAATGGATATTATTTTCTTTTAAATTAGGACTTTTACTTAAAGGAAGACTTCCATTTGTATATTTATATACTTCCTCTTGTAATATTATTATAAGGGATTTTGCAAAAGAAATTCACATGATTAATATTTCTAAGATGTGATGTCATATAGCTTGACTCTTGTCTCCAAAACAATGCAGACGAAGTAATTTGTAATTGATGTTGAGCAAGTATCCAGAGTGCTTGTGGAAAACTTCCCTTTTCTCACAAGAAGGAAGCAAAACCCAAGGATTCATCTGCACCTCTCTCTTGCAGAAGCGAGGGTGGAGTAAAGGAAGAATGTGGGCTTCTTGGACCACACAAAATGGTCCATGGGAGTTGGGTACTGGTAGCTCACACCTATAATTCTAACTACTCAAGAGGCTGAGATCTGAGGATTGTGGTTCAAAACCAGCCAAGGAAGGAAAGTCCACAAGACTATCTCTAATTAACCACCAGAAAACCGGAAGTATTGCTGTGGCTCAAAGTGATAGAGCGCTAGCCTTGAGCAAAAGCGCTCAGGGACAGAACCCAGGCCCTGAATTCAAGCCTCACAACCAACCCTCCCCCCTCCAAAAACAAAACTGTCTATGGGCCTGTGTGAATTTGTAGTGGGTTTAGTTTTTTTTTTTGCAGAACACATGCAGTTGAGTAGGCTTTTCATAAATCCCTAAACATCAAGGACTGAGTGCTCCTGCCCATTTTCCCCTTCCTAAGACAGTGTACTGGACAGGAAATGTGAGGGTCTTGCTTTATTGTATTCATAATTTTTGACTTGAAAATCAACACTGGCAAAGGATCAAGCTTGAGGATTGTCTAAATCATTCAAGCTCTCGTCTTAATACATGAAGGTGGTTAAAATATTTTTTTGTCTCAGGTTTCACTTACCGACTTTTTCTGTTCCCTGATGGGTAGAATTACTGAACAAACTGATATATGCTCTACAGCAAGTTGTTTTTCCATATAGATCTTATGCCAGACTGTGTTCTTTTCAATGCTGTTAAGAATCTGAAAATGGGAAGTTCTACTGTTCAGAAATTGTAGAGTGGGAAAATGTTTCAGAGATTGCCAGACATTTCATGCTTGGAATCACCTGCTGGTTTACTGTAGTATAGTGTAAACAACAAAAAAAAAAAAGAAATAAGAAATGAATAGAGAGAGTTATTGGAGCTGGGTGCTCGTGGCTCACTCCTATTATCTTAACTGCTCAAGAGGGTGAGACCTGGACGGTGGTGGTTCAAAGGCAGCCTGGACAGAAAGTTCTGTGAGACTCCCATCTGCAGTTTACCAGCAAAATGTCAGACTGGAGGTGTAGCTCAAGTGGTAGATTGCCAGCTATGAGCAAGAAAGCAGATTGAGAGGGTTCAGCCCTAAGTTCAAACCCTGGTACTGACACAAAAGAAAAAAAAAAAAGCATGTTGATTTTGGTCATGTCAAAATGTGAGAATTGGATGAATAGTATGTATTGCTTAATAAAATGCTCTGTGTATACAAGCATACTTCCAGCCTTCTCGGCATTCCTCTACTGTGAACAACTTTTGTCACTGAGTGAAAATGATTGGTTTAAAACTAAACAGGAAGTCTAATAAATAGCAGAGGATATTATTCAGGTTGCTAAGAATATTGGCTTGTAAATCAGACAGACCTAGTTTTAAATCCTGATTTTTACCGTTTATGTGTATCTTTGGCAAAGTTGTTCACCCCCTCTGAGCCTATTTCATTATCAGTAATAGTATCCCCTTGACAAAATGGTTCCAAATACCAGACATTATTGTGAATATAAGATTATCTCCGCTGCATTTATCATAGTGTTAGCAAATGTTACCTATTCATGATACTCGTTAACTCACGTTTGATTAAAGCAATGCATATAGAACCATGAGTAGAGTACCTGGCATAAGGTAAAATTTTGGCGCCTTAGCTACTATGTTAAATAGTGACAATATTAAAAACTGAAATCTAAAATTCGTTTATTCTATAAACACCTCATTTGGGGCAGGGCTAAGGCACTGAAGGTTAGGAATATCATAATAAGAACTCCACAGCCTGCCCTTGGGCTCTGTTACAGTTTGGGGAATAGTGGGATTGAGTGAGATCTATGGGGGTTTTTTCTTTTTTTGTTCTAATTTTTTATTGTGAAAATACCGTAAGATCTATGTTTTTGTAATGAATTTTTGCAGATGTTCATTGAGCAAAACAAGCTGAAGAGACAAAGCCGCCTGCTGTTGCAGAGCTCCGTCCCTGACCAGCAGCTTGTGCAAGCGCTAGATGAAAACGCAAAACTCATCCAGCAGCTTGAAGAGGAAAGAATTCAGCATCAGCAAAAGGTAACAGATTTCATTCTGGAGTTATAGAGACACACTTGTTTTAAAATGAGAGGCATCGGTCCATATCTTGTATCTTATTAATTTCTTCTAAGCAACTTTCAGAAAAAGAAAGCTACCAAGGGAATTTAGTGTATTGCCCAACTAAAATTTCTAGCATACTTTTGTAGACTTTATAATAACCTTGAAACTGGTCATTGAAGAGAGATCTTAGCAAAACAGGGTAAAGATACATGATTCAAAAATGAGATAAAATGGATGGAACTAGAAATCATATTAAATGAGTCAAGCCATGCTCAAAAAGTTAAGTATCAACCTTAACACCAACGCCTTGCACCTATAATCCTAACTAGTCAGGACGCTGAGAGCTGAGCCTTGTAGTTTGAAACCAGCTTGGGTGGACAAACCTATGAGATTCTTACCTCCAGTTAAACCACCAAAAAGGCTGAAATGGGAGGTGAATGAGAACACAACGTCCTAAGTTCAAGCACCAATCCCAGTGCATGCATGCATGTGTGTGCACATGTACGTGTGTGCACGCACACACACGCGCAGTGATGATGATGATGATGATGATATATGAGTGTAAAAGGTAGTAATCAATGGGACAGGTGGGGAAAAGGAGGATAATGGAAGATGTAGACGTATGTTACTTTTACACACACACAGAAATATAGCATAATGAAATCCATCAAGTACTGTTTGAAAGGGGAGAGTTAGAAGGAATGTGTTAATATTGCACTGTACCCCTCCCTAGAATCATCACCTTGAAATCCCCCTGCTGTATTAATTCATGCTAATTTTTTTAAAGAAGGGACCACAAAAACTTTCTTTTATAAATGTAGTGTGGAAATATGCTTTTTGGGAAGACGTGGTTTTTGGAGAGCTTGTTGGAGGCCATAGGTCTTACTCCAAGAAGAAAGGACAGAAAAGTTATGGCATGCAGAAAAAGTTAAAGAAACTTAAGATTATTTAAGAATCCCACACTTTGGTGTATATCTAAATTATGCATATGTATAATTTCATGAGTATATAGTCTGCCTAGATGGAATTGTACCACATACTAGTCTATAACCATTTCAATTGGCAAAATATATCTTCTCATGCTAAGGTATGTGATTTTTAAATGGTTGTCTAGAATTTCATTTAATGAACATTATAGTTCATCAAGTCTATAATATTGGTAGGTATTTAGGTTATTTCCAGCTATTTACTATTATAATTAGTGAATATATTTGCACATTTGTCTGAATTTTTTTTCTTCAGTGCTAGAGAATGAACCCTGTACATGTTAGATAAGTACTCTACCACTGAGCCACAATCCCAACCCCTGTCTGAATCTAAACAGGACAAAACAATTTTCTAACAAGGGTATTACTGGAGCAGAGTCTTTCCCTCTTTTTTTTTTTGAAGATTTTTGGTACTTTCTAGCAATTTATAATTGTACTTCACCAAGCGTCTTTAAAAATGAAAATGGATACAGAAGTATTAATCTGTTGTGTTTGTGTGTTTTGTGTGTGTGTGTGTGCTGGTCCTGGGGCTTGAACTCAGTACCTGGACACTGTCCCTGAGCCTTTGTGCTCAAAATTAGCACTCTACCACTTGAGTCTCAGCTCCACTTCTTGCTTTTTGATGGTTATTGGAGATCAGAGTCTCACAGACTTTCCTGCTCTGGCTGGCTTCAAACCATGATCCTCTGTTCTCAGCCTCCTGAATAGCTAGGATTGCACATGTGAACCACTGGGGCCCAACAATCTGTTTTAAGTGAGTTTTTAGTCATTATTGTAGTTATTTTATTTACTTAAGAAGCTGACAGTGATTGTAAGGATTGTCTGTATTCATAATTTGTGTGATTTTAAGATCTGTTAGAATTTTTCTGCTGTGAGAATGATGTCAAAGATATTTTTCCCTTTTCTTGTCATGGACAAAGGACAACTTATCACCCTACTAAAGTTTGTGTGAAACCTCTAGGTCAAAGAATTAGAGGAGCAGCTGGAAAATGAAACATTGCACAAGGAGATACATAACCTCAAACAGCAACTAGAGCTTCTAGAAGAAGACAAGAAAGAATTGGAATCAAAATACCAGGGTTCTGAAGAGAAGGCCAGGAATTTAAAGCATTCTGGTAAAAGCATTGAGTACTTCCTACATCTTAATCATTCACCTGTAAAGCTCTCCTATCCAGGACAAAACCTGGCATATAGCTAGTACTGAGTGCTATAGGAAATTACCAAGATTTGTATTTAAATTCCTTCATTGTTAACAAAAAAGAAGAAAAGCTTCGGTCATCAATTGATTCACAAGTAGTCAGGCTCCTTCTTTTTTGGGGGGACATAAGGCCTTTGTGAACACATATACAGTATTAAGACACAAAGATGCTAGAAGCATGGATAGACAAAAAAATGTCAGCATTCTCAGGCCTTCAGAGGCATTCATACAATAAAGAACTCTGTTTTGTTCATTTTAGAGCACACTTTTAAAAGAAATCAAGTCATTTTTTTATAATACCTTCGTCTTTGGTACTCACACTCCATCTTTGCCTGTAATTATACCCATGAAATAATACTTCCTATGTCATGCCTAACAATGTAATGGGCAACTATAGATATATATATTAAATGGAAAAACTTTTGAAACACCAGGGATGCTTAAATCAAAGGATTTATTCATTCATTGTGGGAATGTGTGAGTTGGATTACTACACAGGCCTAAGTATAAGTCTTGGTGGGAAAGCAGGTAATTTCTGGAGGCAGGTACATTCCCTTTATAACAGCTTCAATATTCACGTCAGACGTTTTTGGTTAATTTTATACTAGAATTTTGAAATCTGTTCAGAAGAACCTTTGGAGGCTTTTCCTCCCCTTTCAAGTATATTCAGATATTAGGCTTGCTGCCTCATGCCTGTAGTTGGTTGGCAGAGAGGAAATTGGGAGGCAGAAATTAGGAGGATCCTGGGTCAAATCTAGCCGAGGCAAAATTTTTATGAGAACTCATCTCAGCCAATAAAAAGCTGGGCAGGGTGATGCAATTTCTTAGCTTTGGTGAGAAGTATAAATAGGAGGGTTGCAGTTCAAGCTGGTTCTAGCAAAAAAGCAGGGCTCCAAAGTAGCCAAAGCCCAAAGAGCTGAAGGCCTGGCTCAAATAGTGGAGCTCTTGCCTACCAAGTGTGATACCCTGAGTTCAAACACTACTCCTGTCAAATGATTTAAAAATTTTTTAATGTTTTTTAATTGACAGTGAAAATTGATTATACTTTTTTAATTGACCTAATTAAAAAAAAATTATTTTGGTCAGTCATGGGGCTTGAACTCTGGGCCTGGGAGCTGTCCCTCAGCTCTTCAGCATAAGGCAAGCAGTCTACCACTTGAGCCACAGCACCACTTTTGGTTTTCTGGTGGTTTATTGGAGATAAGAGTCTCGTGGACTTTCCTGCCCAGACTGGTTTTTTTTTTTTTTTGGGTCCGGTTGTGGGGACTGAACTCTGGGCCTGGACGCTGTCCCTCAGCTCTTCAGCTCAAGGCTAGCGCTCTACCACTTGAGCCACAGTGCCACTTCCGGCTTTTTTCTTTTTGCTTATGTGGTGCTGAGGAATGGAACCCAGGGCCTCGAGCATGCAAGGCAAGCGCTCTACCACTAAGCCACCTTCCCAGCCCCCCAGACTGGTTTTGAACTGTGATCCTCAGATCCTCAGCCTCCTGAGTAGCGAGGATTACAGGCATAAACCACCAGCTCCCTGCTTAATTGAGCTAATCTCCCCAGCCCCCACCCAGGGATAATTGAGCTAATTTTAAGGAACATTCTGTTCTTTTTTAGCCAGTATCAGAGGAGCTTGAAGCCAAAGCTATCTCATGACTGAAAGCAGCAGACATTGGACATATTTGAGTTTCAGATTTGAGTGTGTTTGTTTAGAATCTGCTGTGAGAGTCCCCAGTCCTACTTTGGTGTACAGTCAGAAATAGATAAGAGTAGGCATGCCTTTTGTCTCCAAAGATCTCTGAATCTCTGGAGCAACAAATATATGTTTTTGAATTAAAGGGAGGATTCTTGCCCACTCTGGTTTGGGGGTGCCATAGCAAACAGGTCAGCTTGTTTGCTACTCTGAGGACAAACAGCATTTGGCACCTGTCACCTGTTGCCCATATTAAAGAGGTTTTTTTTTGTTTTTTTGGGGAGTCCAGTCGTGGGGCCTGAACTCTGGGCCTGGGCTCTGTCCCTCAGCTCTTTAGCTCAAGGCTAGGGCTCTACCACTAGAGCCACAGCACCACTTCCGGCTTTTTTCTTTTTGCTTATGTGGTGCTAAGGAATCGAACCCAGGACCTCATGCATGCAAGGCAAGCATTCTACCACTGAGCCACCTTCCCAGCCCCAAGAGGTTTTTTTTTTTAAATGAATACATTCTTATTATTATTGAGGTGCTATACAGATAGGTTACCATTTCCTAAGTCAGGTAATGAGTACATTTCTCTTTTTTTTTTTTTTGATAATGTTACCCCTTCCTTTGCTTTCCCCCAGGTTCCCCTCTCATTCTTGCCCACAATTTTCCACATAGTGTATACTGAATAGCACAATTGCGTTTGTTCATGGTCCCTCCCTCTCTCTGTGCCCTCCTTTTGTCCCCCCTTAAAACAACCCAAAAGCAAAAACAAACACCACCAACAGCCACCACCACAAAACAGGTTTCTATTTTCGGAATGAAGTTTGATAAATAGCATTTTAAATGTTTTTAAACTTTTGCCATGCTGGTTATTGAACCCAGAGCCTTGTGCGTGCTAGGCAAGCTGGGCCCCTGGGCTCTATTCCCTACATCCCCAAGCCCTGTGGCGTACATTTAAATTGATCTTGAAGTCAGGATCTATACTGTGTCTCCAACAGCATTGTGGGTGTATAGTAATGTCTGTCTCATTGATTGGGCAAATTCTGTTTCTAGAATGTTCTTCAAAAGAAGAGAAAGCTTTTGAGTTACAGGCTTTTAGGAATTTAAGCCTAGTTAAAATAAAAGACTCCTAGTATTTGCAGTTTGTGAAGGAAATTAAGCAGTGGAGAGAAGTATGCAGCTATTAAAATTCATCACTAAATGTCATCTTTAAAAGTCATTCTTGGTCTCTACGCTTTTCAAGTCAAGTCTTAACAATATCTTAGTGTTTGAGTAGTATACTCTGTTGTTACAAATATTTCTTCGGCCTACTCAAATCTAACTTTCCACCCATTAGCCATTGTCTTGCATTCTTTTTCCTAGGTTGTCTGTGCAGGAAAATGATCGTCATGTTATACTGAAACAAATGGAAAAAACCTCTCTTGCATTAATGATAGACTCGATTTTTTTTTAAAGTCTGAAATGCTACAGTTTCATATGGAAATGCCCAACTCTGCCTTCCTAAGAAGCACTTGACTTGAGAGAGGTTATGTTTTTTCTTTCTTTCTTGTACACATGTAAAAGTTGCTTATTTCTCTTCTCTTCCGAATGTTTGTTCCCTGTGCAGTGGATGAACTCCAGAAGCGAGTGAACCAGTCTGAAAATTCGGTGCCTCCGCCTCCACCTCCACCTCCGCCACTTCCCCCTCCGCCTCCCAATCCTATCCGGTAAGCACAGGCTGGAGCCCCAGGGGCGGTACTGGCCTTGCTTTCCAGCACCAGCTTAGGATATGTCATTAGAGGAACTGTGAGAAAGCATCAAAGATAGCAACTTGAGAGCCGGGCGCTGGTGGCTCACGCCTGTAATCCTAGCTACTCAGGAGGCTGAGATCTGAGGATCGCGGTTCAAAGCCAGCCCGGGCAGGAGAGACCGTGAGACTCCTATCTCCAATAAACCACCAGAAGACCAGAAGTGGCGCTGTAGCTCAAGTGGTAGAGTGCTCACCTTGAGCTGAAGAGCTGAGGGACAGCGCCCAGGCCCAGAGTTCAAGCCCCACGACTGACCAAAAAAAAAAAGATAGCAACTTGTGTTTTTTTTCTCAGAAGATGTCTGTCTCTTCTCGTAATGTATGCAGTAGGGGCCTTCAAAAAACATTTGGCAAGGAAATTCCTGTGGGATCTCTGGTAGACCTTGAACTTCTATGTGGATACTCCACCCTCAAAAAAAACTAGGCACTTTTTTTTTTTTTAAGCGTGGATATACTGTGAGGATTGCTTTGAACAAGCACATCAAGGGGATTTTTGAATGTCACTAGAATGTTTTTATCTTTTTCTCCCACTAATTTGAATTTGAAAAGCTCTAGTTGATTCATTTTGTTTTTTTAAAAATTAAAGCAGCAAATTAAAACCTAAACCTACTAATTGTTATAAACTAGTAATTAAACTGAAAGTGCTAATTATTTTCATCCTTATCCTTGTATTTAAACCTTGATGAATGCTGAGAGAGGAACCTTCCATGAGGAAATCAATGATGTTTAAGTTCTTGGGAAAGGAAATCATCTATGCCAACAGGAACAAAAGTTTCCCCAAGCCTGACTCACCTGGTGGTCTTACTCACTTGAGCACAGCATCCTCCAGGGAGATCTAGTGTCACATTTTTGCCTTCTTTGTGGTTTGACATAACCCCACCTAGATCTACAAGGACCACCTGCTTCTTCTGGTGACCACTTAACCTCTTCATGTCAGGATGTTAGCTGCTTTTGAATAACTTATTCTTGAACAAATGGCATTTAAACTTTTGCTTTATTTTTTTTTTAGCTTTCATTAACTCATGTGATTTGTTTAATCCCTTCATGCAGAGAGGCCATTTATTCATGCTTTGCACCTTTGCTGATCTATCTGAATAGAACATGTAGCATGTTCCTCCCACACGACTAGGAAAATGGGACTTTGCCTTTCACAAAGATTCTCATTACTGTTCCTCACTGAGTAGGGTATGACATAATCTACTTGAAGCCATTGAAGTAGTTAAGACTAAATCATTTTTACACGTGATCGATCCAAGAGTCAATTGAAAGAATTTCAGGTATTTTAAAATTCTTTCTCTCCTGGGTAGCTGAATCTGTAGGCGATAGTCTAAATTTGACATTTAAAATGGGAAAGTCACCACTTTGATCTCTCTTGAAGGTGTAGAATTTTGAGCTAATAAGAAAGGTCACTTCTGTAAGAAGGGAGAACTGTTAAAAAGCAATTACAGCCTTGCTGTTGGCCTTTAATTTTTAGGCTCAGAAATGTTGAGAGCCCCTAGAATTAAAAGTAAAGTAAAACCTAAATAGAATTTTCCTCCAAAGAGTACTTTACCATTATACTGAGCAATCAGTGTAAGATTGAAGATTATGTGTGTTTCAAGAATGAACTCTTTTATAGGGCTCTTTGAAGAATTTTTTTCTTGAACAATATGAATAGCTTTATTTTTAACATAAATTTAAATCATATGGGGTATATTTTCTGGTAAGAATACTTCATGTGAAGAAATATCTTGAGTTTTGGTGTACTTTGAGCCCACTAGGCAAGGTTTTCCAACTTGTTCCTAACCCACATGTTGTTTCCCTAATGTCCCTTAGGTCCATAATAGAAATGACTAGAAATGGAAGTAGCAGGTGGAGAGAAGATCGAGACAACTGTAGGGCTTCTCTGCTTGGCTTTGTTGCTACTCGGGATTTCCCACTCCTTTGATTCAGGGAACAACAGGTTGGAGAGAAGAAAGAGAGGAATAAAGCATGCCTTAGTCATTTTTGTTGTGAAGCAAGTGTGGGTCGTGGGGACAGAGCCTGCAAGATGTCTGTGTAAGATCTGGAAACATAGAAATACAGTCATGTGATATATTCTGAGAAATAGTTTATTTGATGATTTTGTTGTGCAAACTTCATGGGGTGTACTGATACAAACTAAGCCCTGTCTTGACAATTGGTCTTTTTAATACAGTAGGTGATTTTTCTCTGGGTGCCACTTGTCTCCAATTTCTGCTTCAACTCAGAACATTTTAGGGAAACATTTTCTGCCATCTACTTAGGCAATTTACAGTAATGGACACATAATTGTTACCTCACATATGAAAACTCATATAAATACTGAGCAGCATAGATAAATTCTGGCCTCATCACCTTTGTATACAAGAATGTGTGCTCTCAGAATTTCCTCTCAGAACCATACGTGAGCCAGTTCCATAGACTATAGTGACAGGTTGAGGAGAGGCCTCTGATCTGTATGAATGTCCCCAAACCCACCCTGCCAGACATGGTGATGAGTAGATACGGAATCTTCCTGTGTTAGTCATTCAGTTGACTGAATGGAAAAAAATCAATAAATGAGGTTTACAGTTTCTCATTTCTGTTTTTCAAAGTTTTGTGTGGATTCCAGTGTCTAGCTTTTACAGAAATGATTATTTCCATTTTGTGCCCACTTTGAGTCCAGAGATGATAAACCAGACGGACTCAGCTTCAAGGTGAATTGTCTCCCAGTTGGAAAGGTGTAGAGATGTCAGAGGAGGGGCTAGAGTGTGGTGGTTTCTTTTTCCTGTGCATTGTGGAAGAGCTTTTTCAGTGTGTGTGACAATTTTTAGAAAAGACAACTGAAAGGTGATTAGTAATATAACCAAAGATTGAAATGAACACATTTTTTAAATCTAAAAATTATAGGAATTAAGAAAACACTGAGCATGGCAGGTGTAGCTTTGTAACAGAGCACTAACTAGCCTAGCATTTGTGACACTTAGCACCAGATAGGTCGGATACATAGATGAATGGATCGATGGATGGGTAGGTGGATGATGAATAGCTATACCAGCTTGCTGTGTTTTCCAAGCAAATGTTAATATATTCATTTGTTCCTTTTTTGAAAGATAATGTGATACTTTCCTACCACTTAAGTATACGTTTTTCTTTGCCAGCTTCCCAAGTTGTCTTTCTTAGGGGCTGTATTGTCCAATAAGAGTTCACCACATTGAAGGCATTTATAATACAGTGGAATGAATTCAGACATTCTCAATGCATTTGTTTGCTGTGAACTTTTTATAGTGGAAATGTTAACATGTATGCAGAAATGTACACACTCATGTGCAGTTTTAAAATAATATAAAACAAAGCCAGACACTAGCTCTTGACTGTAATCTTAGCTATACAGGAAGCTGAGATCTGAGGATTCTGACTCAAAGCCAGCCCAGGCAGAAAAGTTGGTGAGACTTTTGGTTAATCTCCAATTAATCAACAAAAAGCTGGAAATAGAGATGTGGCTCAAGTGTACTACTAGAGTACTAGTCTTGAGGGGAAAATAAAAAAGCCAAGTGAGAGTATGAAGCTCTGAGTTCAAGCTCTAGTACCTGAACAACAACAACAAAACTTGTTTGCCTTGTATTTCCTCTACTGAATATTAGTTTTATACCAAGAGGGGTGAACTATTTCTTTCCTGTAAAATCATCAAAAATTTGCTATTACCAAGAATGGATAGCATATGACTTAAATTCATTAGTTTGTAGGAGAGTTGGATTTCTACTGATGATTTGGAATCTGCATTTTATCTGTTTGATTGAGAGACCTCCAGTGATCTGCTGTTGATCTTTTGTCTTCCTCCCAAAGATCTCTCATGTCCATGATCCGGAAACGATCCCACCCCAGTGGCAGTGGTGCTAAGAAAGAGAAAGCAACCCAACCAGAAACAAGTAAGTACCAGCTTGTATATTTTCCTTTTATGACTTGATGATGTATGATTTTTCAGCAGTTCATATGCTTGCTGATCTTCTTGGAGGGGAAGTGTAAAGAGAAGCTGTAAGAAGGAAACAAGCAACTGCCATTGCCTTCCCAAGTTGGTTGTCTATAGATTAACATGTACACATGTCCACTACGAAGAGGGAAATCCAGTTCCATAGAGGAACAGATACTTCCAGGTGTCAAGGAGATTGAGCAGTTCCAGATGAAGGGCTGAGAGCTTCTCAAGAACTTAGGTGCTACTCCAGTGTCATGATTGGGAAATACAGTGAGCCTGCCTTACTTGCGGATTTATCACACGTAGTTTTAGCCAAGTGTGGTAGAAATAAATAAAATTTAAGCCAGGTGCCATTAGCTCACTCTTGTAATCCTGACTACCTAAGAAGCTGAGATTTGAGGCTTGTGATTTGAAGCCACACCAGATAGAAAAGTGTCTGAGATTCTTATCTCCAGTTAACTAGCAAAAATGCCAGAAGTGGAGTTGTGGCTCAAAGTGATAGAGTGTTAGCCTTAAGCCAAGAAAAGCTCAGGGACAGTGCTGAGGGAGGCCCTGAGTCCAGGATCCAGGACGGGAGGAAGGAAGAAGGAAGCATGCATATGAAAGAGAGAGAGACAGACAGAGAGACAGAGGCAGAGACAGAGAGACAGAGACAGAGAGAGACAGAGAGAGGGACAGAGAGGGAGCGAGGGATGGGGGGAAGCATGGGCAGATGCATTCCTAATAGTGTATATGTGTGAAAACGGAACTAGGAAAATTGAGGAGGTGGGTGAGGTTGGGAGAGTTGTAGTAGAATGATAGAAGGGATGACATTGATCAGGATGTACCTACAACAAACTGGTCACTGTTAAGTTCTTTGTACTTTTTTTAAAGTACAATTTTGGAGGAGAACAAGTTCCTATGAGATTATGGCAGTGGGCCACTAGTGTCAGAAGGTGGCATTCCAGCTGAGCAGTCATGCATTTCTGATATAAGGTGGGGGTGTTCAGTAGTGACACAGTAGGATCAGAGTTCCCGAATGCGGAAGGAGCTTGCCATAAGAGGAAGCTGAGAGAGCACTGCTATGGTAGAGCACTGCTATGGTAGAGCACAGGAGCGAGAAAGGGGTGCTGAAAATTTATTGGGAGCCAGATTCTGATGACTGTTCGAGACTCTGATGTTACTCCAAAAAGCAGAAGGTTTAAGTAGAGGTTTTATCCTGATAAAGTTTATCTTTTCTTTGGGGGAGGGGGCAGGAAGATCACTTCAGTGCAATTGGGAAGAGTATAGACTGAAGAAGGAGGGTAGATAAGGGAGGGTATTGTAGCCTTTCAGACAAATGATGATGACTTAGACCAGTTGGTAACAATTAGCTAAAAAAAAAAAAAAAAAAAACTTTAGGGAGGTAGAATATGTAGGACTCTGGGAATCACTAGGGACCAGGCAGGAAGGACAGCACGAGGAAATGGACTTAGAAAGAGGAGGACAGAAACACCAATGGCTGGTGCAGAGTCTGCACAGAGCTGTGGGTGAGTTGATGGGTAACCACTTGGAGATCAAAGATGTCCAGTGCTGGGACAGACTTTAATCCTTTGGGCCTTGACACTAGATCTCAAATTAAACTTCAGTAGTTTGTTTGGCCCCTGGAAGTTATGCAGCACCATGGATTTGCCAGGTTCAAGCCCCGAGTAGTGTAAGCTCCTTTTGATCCTTGTTCTCTGCCCCAGTCCAGTCCATTGCATCTCACTGGCATTGTGACATTCTCCGATCACGGGTTGGTCATTGTCATCCATCTATGACATCTATGTCTGTGTTAGACTAGAGCACACATTCTGTATTCTGCTTGTAGATGGTCCTTTGCTTTTACTTCAGCCACATTTCTCACTATGTCTGTCCCACTTTCTGGCTAGGACATTATGTGAAGGCTCACTGTGCATTGGTTCTTTCCCATCTTCATTCCCGAATTGGCCATCCTGCCCCATCCTTCTGTTATCGCCTTCTCAGGCAAGATGCTATTTCTCCTTGCACATCTCTGAAAATTCACCTTTGCACTCCAGGCTTCTCCTCCACCTTCTCTGACTTGCTAGCTTAATAATGAGTTGCTTGTAGCATTTTGCTTTAAATTCCATTGCTTTAGGAATTTACCGTCCTACCCCTAGCTTCTACTCTCTAGGCTCTGTGTTTGACACATTGCTGGGTATTCCAGTCTGCCTCTGAGCAGGTGGAAAGTTCTTTGTGGGTTTACTTTCCTCTGCAGCCACAGCTCTGTTGTATGAGTTTGGACTTAGTGTTGGTTTTATCAGGAAGCTTGCCTCACATTTACAACAGAAAGTTGAGTTTGTCTCTGAGTGGGTTCTGTGTGCCTGTCCCCTGCTGGCCTAGGAATCTGTCCCTCTGCCTGTCTGTGGGGCTGAAGGGCCCCAGGCTTTGCATGAGATATCGCAGGAGTCCAAAGCAGTCTGGCTACTGGTGATTTATAGGGCAGCCCTGCTCTGGGTTTACTGGCTATTACTTCTTTCTGATACTGTCATTTAAGTTTTACTTCCCTAGTTTTCAGGATTTTCAGTATATCTATACTGCTAGGAGGATAGTCAGAATGGAGTAATTTTTTCCTCCATAAAAGATGATATCAACTTGTCAACCTCAACTAAATTTGTTTTTTAATGTCTTTAAAACATTATTTCAGGAAATGGTACTGTGACTCAAGAGGTAGAGCTCCTTGAGCACAAATTGGCTCAGGGACAGACAGTGGCCAGGCCCTGAGTTAAAGCCCCGTGGAACTGTTAGCACCCATGCCATTTTCCTTATGACTCATGAACTGTAACATCCTTGAGCTATTAGTTATTTGGGGAATCTATATTGTTACTGACACAGGGGTAAATTGTGAAATTTTAGACTGAACACATCCTAAAAATCACACAGCCTGACATGGTATATACTGTGAAGTGGCTACACATAGCTAGAATAGCATCTTATCTCTGTCTGGCAAAGTGGCTATTTATAAGATCCTTGTTAATAGTTCACACAGTGGTTTAAAAGCATCCTGAGTGAACATAGAACATCAGATGCTGGGAACATCAGCAGCTATCAGGAATATGCATCTTGAACAGAGGCACTGTCTCAACGCTCAGTTTGCTTTCTCATATGAGCACGTTAGGGCAGCTTTTCATATATAGTTCATGGGGTTTTTGGAGCTTATGAATAGGAAACTCCTAGCTTAAGGGAGGTCTGGAAGATTTTAGATGTAGTTTTAACATCTGAAAATAAATCATGAATTTTAAAGTTAGCAACCTGGATTTTGACAAGAATGTATCTAGCAGGTCAATTCTGAGATTTCAAAGCCATGCCTCTATTGACACATGTTTCAATCATCACTGAAGATTTTTACCTCTGTGTCTCAGTTTCCTGATCTGTTCCACAGGGACAATATGATAGTATTGTATTATAGTATTATCTATGTCTATATTATTATTTTCTGTGGCTTCATTGGCCCTCAGTCACGATTGAAAATATTTATAGAAAATTCCAGAGTTAAGCAATGTTTAAAATTAACTTAGAGTTAAAATTAACTTAGAAATTTAAATCACTGTTCTGGCCCTCAGTGATACAAATCATCTCTCTTTTTTTTTTCTCCACAGTATATCCTTTCTGTAAATGCTATCTGCCTTGTGGCAGTTGAGAGAAAGGGAAAAAAAAAAAAAAACACAAAACATGCCCATATAACTTGTACTAAAATCTGCTGTTATAGTGGTTGTGTCTTATTATTACATATTATGATTAAGCTTTTACTGTGCCTTGTTTATAAACTAGACTATCACAAGTAAATAAGCACGAACAGAAGTATGTTAGTGTAGAAGATTCTATAGAACATTGTACACGGATGGTTGTTATTCAAAGTTTTAGGTACCCTCTGGGGTTTGGGGACATATCCTCTGCAAATAAGGAAGACCTATTATATCTGAAAAGTGTTTACAGTAGGACCCAGCACACAGAAAACTCTCAAAATACTGGCTAAAAAGTGGGTAAGGTACCAGCTGCCCATTGGGAGAGTCAAGGAGGGACTTCATTCCAGCATGCTTCCTCCGCATTGTAGTTAAAGAAATTTTCTTGGAAGTGCCACTGTGGCTCCAGTGGTAGAGCGCCAGCCTTGATCTGAAGAGCTGAGGGACAGCGCCCAGGCCCAGAGTTCAGGCCTCACAACTGACAAAAAAAAAAAAAAAAAAAGAAATTTTCTTTAAGACTATCACTGAAATTGAAACATACTTAAACATATATAGTACCTTTGAAATTCTGTTCATCATGATGGCATATAGTTTTAAAATACCTTTTGTTTTTAAAGTTAGTCAAAGAGAAAGGTAATTCTATGGTTTAGAAATTCAGTTTCTTCTAGATTTTATTAAGTAACAAAGTGATGGTTTTCTTTGTAGATTTGGTAGTGGGTTTGGTTGTTTTTTTTTTATTTTTTTAGAGGAACTTATTTTTCAAGTGGGTCTTAAAATTTAAGCCCCAATTAATTACATGTAGCTTTTTGATCCAAGACTGACCTTGAAGCACTAGCTCCGCGAACATTTGATTTTATTTTCTCCTGGCAGTTCAATAACGTTAGACCTGTTGTCTTCATTTGTCCCTTTCCTTAATCTGCAGTATCCTGCATATTTCTATTGTCCCCCTGATTACATGCTTTTGTGAGACAATTACCAAGTGCCTGATTGCAGAAAGAATTACAAAACATACCATGAGCTCTCTGTAGGTGATTCTCGCCAGTTTATTAGAACTGCTTAATAGTTTAGAAGTTCATATAGATTGCTTTTTGCTATTTCAAAAACAGGGTCTAGGAGAGACAGAAAGCTTATGTTGCTAACCTAGTGCTGCCCTTGTTTGGTGCCCAAGTAGGGAATCTGATAAGAGTGATTTCTTTTCCTTAAGACCAATTAAGCCTTTACATTTGAAAAAGACTGGGAAATTAAAGCCTGGTTTATAATCTGTACACAATACAGATAGTGGCACTTCTCTGAATTATCACTATGATTCTGGCAAGCAAATATAAGAAACTACTTTAAATTCCTACTATGTTAGATGCTGTAGCAGATTTGAATGGTGTTGACCATAATTCTCCATCTGTCTGCCTTAATTAGTTTTTGTATGGTGCATTTAATTGGGTTCCCGTCATTCCTTACAGAGGGCTAATCTGTTTGTAGGCGGTGTTCCTATTGCCCAGGCTGCTCTTCCTAGTTCACTCAAAATGGCAGTCTTTCTGGAAAAAAAAGCAACTGTGTTTTGAAGTGATTTTCTCAATTCCCAGGAATAAATCTCATCCCCATACCAGGTGCTTGAGCAGCAGATCTGGATTCTATCTCCTCTGATTTTGAATAGAATCGGCCAGAGTGCTATGTAGAGTACAATAGATATTCAGCTATTGAGTAAATGGATGGATGGATGGATGGATGGATGGATGGATGGATGGATGGATGGATGGATGGATGGATTTGTCTGTCCCCCTGTTGATATTTGTGAATCATCAGAGCCACCTGAACAAATGCTACTTAAGGCCACACAGTTGGCCAATTTAAGGCTTTGTCATCTTTTGTTTACTGGGAGATGAGTTTGAACATTGTTGACCACATTTCCCCTATTATCTGGCAAAAGATAGTTTGTTGACTTGTTTGAATATTGAGAAGTTTGAGTTCTGAGCTTTCCATTGGCTTCTGAGGATGACAACTTTCTCTGAAGTCAGGACTGTATCAGAAGACCTGGGTTGTGCACTGGCCCCTTCTTTGTGGTGTGCTACAGAGGTGAGGAGAATGGAAACTTCTGAATTCTGTTAATATTCCTCTAGACACCTGTATAAGTGGAATACCTATCCAGAATCAGTGTTAAGTCTTCTGTGGAAAGGAAACCAAAAATTGAGCCTCTGTCATACAAAACCTGACACTGGTGCTAATTATCTTGGGGATGCAGTTGTGGTTACTTCCATGTAGAGGCCCAGATAGGTTTTTGCTGCTGAGACCGTGGGCAACTTCATAGCCATTTAAAGCCCCGAACTTCACAAATCGGTCAGTAGATAGATACTTGCTGAGTGTCCATTATATGTATGCCAAGTAATGAGAAATATACTAGAGATACTAATTGGAAGGTCTTTATTAGATATTCAGACTGAAACATATGATCTGTAGTGAGTTCAGGTGATGTTCAATGCAAGATCTAACTGGTGACACATGTTCTGGAATGGTTCTGTGTTTTTGCTTGAGCTATTCTGCAAGAAAGGACTATTCTGATGAATAGGTTTAGATGTAGGTCCATTGCATTCATTTGATATGCATCTTAGCAGCTTGATTTGTTTTCTTATTTATTTGGGCAGTAAAGGTTATACAATAGACTGCATTTAGTGGATGAACTTTCCCTTCGGTCGGTTGGTGTTGGGGATGGAGCCCCAGGGCCTCACTGATGTAGGCACTGGCTAGTTAAGTGCTCTGCCTCTGAGCTACATCCTCAAACTAATAGTGGAAATTTTTAATCACATTTAATTACTTAATTTCAATTATTGCTAGATGTATTTTTTAACATGTCCAATTTTAACTTACAAAGAATTTGTTTAAATGTTCCCTCTATGTGTGATTCTTAGACAAAAGATGCCATTTTAAAAACAGATTTTCCCCCTATTTTTTATTTGACTTTGACTATGGATTTCTTCTAATCAGAAAACATCTCTTTGATGTCTCTTTTTTTTTCAAATAAGCTATGGATTGATTTCTTTGACATAGGATATACTATAAATCCTACCAGCATCTTTGAGGATAGGAAGAATTGACTATTTGAGAAGGAACAAAGCTGAATTTTTTTCCTCTTGTCCTGGGGCTTGAAATCAGGACATAGGTGCTGTCCCTGGGATTTTTTTTTTTTTTTTTTGGTGCTGGTCCTGAGGCTTGAACTCAGTCTGGGCACTAATCCCTGCAATTCTTTTTCTCAAAGCTGGCCCTCTACCACTTGAGCCACAGTGCTTCTAGCTTTTCTGAGTAGTTTATTGGAATAGTTTTTTGGGCTTTCCTACCTGGCCTGGCTTACCAGAGCTCAGCCTTCTGAGGAGCTGGGATTACAGGTCTGAGCCACTAGTACCTGGCTCTGAACTACTTTTTGCTTAAGGCTGCTCTACAACTTGGGCCAAAACTCTACTTCCAGTTCTTTGTGGGTTTTTTTTTGTTTGTTTTTCTGTTTTTTTGTTTTAGTTTATTGGAGATCAGAATCTCATGGACTTTCCTGCCCAGACTGGCTTCAAACTGCCCTCCTCAAATCTCAGCATTCTGAGGAGGTAGGAATATAGACATGAGCCAACTTTTTTTTTTTTTTTTTTTTTTTTGCCAGTCCTGGGGCTTGAACTCAGGGCCTGGGTACTGCCCCTGAGTTTCTTTTGCTCAACGATAGCACTCTACCATTTGAGCCACAGTGCCACTTTGGGCTTTTTTTTGTTTATGTGGTATTGAGGAATTGAACCCAAGGCTTCATGCATGCTAGACAAACCACTTTTCCAGCCCAAAAACTGTATTTTTAAGACCTGAATATTATCCAGTTTATTCTTTTGTTAATGAACAAATTGGCTTTGTTAAACATAGATGAGACAATACTCCATGATCCAAATTTGACCTTAATTATTAAAACTATTTGTCTGAGCAGATCTTTTATTCTTAAAAACAAATTATTTCAAAAGTGTTGCCACCTGGTAGCTGTTAACCTTGGTAAATTATTGGTGTTCTGCAACTGTCTGAGAAATTACTATGATTAATTATATAGTACAATCTCTCTAAGCCACCAAAAATAGGAATTAGCTGTTTTTCTGTAACCTAAGATGATTTATGTATATGTTCTTTAAACAGCTGAGGAAGTCACGGATCTAAAGAGGCAAGCAGTTGAAGAGATGATGGATAGAATTAAAAAGGGAGTTCATCTTAGACCTGTTAATCAGACTACCAGACCGAAGACAAAGGTTGGTAATGACTGTTAGATGTTTTTTCCTCCCCTTGGTCTTTCCTTCTTTAAATGTAACAATTTGAAAGTTGATGAAATCTCCAACTGGACTGCCATAAAGGTGTCATAAAAGCTTTCACCTCTACAGGTTTCTGAAGGGCGTGGTTTGACAACCATGGCAAACCTAAGTTAAAAGAAAATACATCATGTTGCCCAAAGTACTGATAGCACCTCCAAAGGGAACTGAGCGAATCTCTTCCAGCAGACAGCGTGCAATTGTTACGTCCATTCTTTTCTGATTCCTTATTGGTTATGTGATTCTACCAACTACTCCATGCCAAGTACTGGGCACATGGAAGCAAGCAGGATAGAAAGCTTCCCTGAGGCTTTAAGAGGTTTGGTGAGGGTGTCATATAATAATGGCAGAACAGATTGGTATAGAAATGACAGAACTACAATGGCATTTTAATTTTTGACACAATAGAGTTGGAATCAGGACCCTCAAGCTTGCTATACTGGTTCTCTATTGCTGACACATGCTTACAGCTCTTTTCTGTGCTATTATTTTTGAAAGAGAGTCTTCTTTCTTGCCCAGGTGGGTGCCTGGACTACACTTCTCCTACTTACACTTCCCATTGTAGTTGGATTGATAGGTGCAATACACTATACCGAGCTCTTCATTGAGAAGATTTCTTAGGAACTTTTCTGCCTTGACCAGGCTTTAACCACTATCTTCTCATCTCAGCCTCCCTGGTAGCTAGGATTACAGTTGTGAGCCACTGACTCCTGACTAGATTACATTACAAATTGCATTACAGTTTTTTTTCTTTGTTCACTTTAATCCTGTAGGAACAAACTAGTTCTCTTTCTTCTTTTCCTTTTTTTTTTTCTTAAACCATACTTAATGCTTTCCATCCCTCTTTAACTTCTTAAATGTCTGTCTCTCCATGTTATGCTATTTTATGGAAGTTTCTGGTGTCCTTTGAAAGTTGCTACTTTTCCCGCATAGGCAGGCCAGATAACCAGGCAAAGTGCGAGTGGCCATGGTGTGGGATGTCCTATGCAAAGGAGACTGCAAAGAAAGAGGGAATGGATGCTCAACTCCAAGAGCAGACTTACATGTTTGAGGCAGAAGTTTGAGCAGCCAAATAGAGTAGGTCAGTGTGTGCCCATGTTCTAGGCAAAGAACAGAACGTGGAACCACAGGATGTGGAGCCACGGGATATGGAACCAGGGGGAGGCTAGGAGGATGATCCAGTACACAAGGTTAAAAGAAGGGTGAGTCCTGTGCGAGGGTTAGTGCTCAGGCAGTACCAGCAGCTGCCCTCCACTTTTTCCTGTGCAGTTGAGGAGAATACCTGCCCTGTCTGACTCATGGGCTTGTCAGGATCAAATTGAATGAAGTGTAAAAACACTTTAGAATGTAAGGTCTGAGTGCCACTTTGCAAAAGAATACACTTTTTATGACATCCATGACTCAACGATTATAGAAAGAATAAGCGAAACCAAACTATTACCAGAGAGAAATGTAGTGTCCAAAAGAAATTAGTTCAGAGGAAAAGGCTGTTGGAAATGTCAACCATAAGTAGTCAGCGTTCTGTATGTACTTTTCATTTCCAGAGCATCACTCTGTCATCTTCCTTTCTTGCCCTACCTTCCACAATCACACCTTATTTAATGCCAGTTCAAAATCCAGAAAACAACTGAACAAGGATGAGTGGACGACTGGGTTTTTCACTGGTAATCATTAAACACGGTAGATGTAGTGTTAAGTGAAAAGGTCCCTGCATGCCTGAGTGCAGACTGTCCCCCTTCCCCCCTCCCCCCCCCCAAACTCTGTGCTGTCCTAAAGTGTCACCGTACGGGAGGATGTGGTCCAGGCGTCGAGGCTGCTGCAGTCAGGGCAGCTTGAGGGGCCCGGCTTTGAGTATCGTAGAAAGCATGGCATTTGCTCAAAGTTCACCTTGTAACCTGGCCAGTTTACCCACAGAAGTCAAGGCTGCCTTGCGAGGGCTGATAGAAAGGCATGTGTTCTCAATTCCTTGATGTTGTGGGTGGAGCTGGCCTGGTTGATGTTGCATATGACTCTCTGTGGTGGGGGGAGCAGGGTCAGGGGTGTTAATGTGCATTTTACAGATGAGGCTATGAAAGTTAAATACCTTAGCCTAATTTTTCCTCTATCTTCATTTAAAAATGCTGAAATAGAATCATAGTCTTGTGTTATTTTTTGAGAGGAAATGGTTATGGATTGCTATTGGTTGCTCCCCATTGCTGGATGAGAGGAAAAAAATCTCACCCTATCTCTCTTTGGGGAAGGAGTGGCTCATGTCAGTGTCCTGCTCGTTTTCTCTTCATCTCTGTCCTTTGTGAAAGTAGTACAGGGGAGATCAGAGGTCTGCCTTCAGTTACTTCCTCATGGAGGCCCCAGGCTCCATTTGCTTCCCAGCAGACCCACAGAAATTGTTAAACATGGCAGAGATTACCACCATTTTATTAGAAGTTATTTTTTTTTTTGTTCTTGGTATAGTCAAATGTGAATTGGGCTCACACTACAGACTGCTGCCCCCAATCTCCCTTCCTCATTTCTGACTTTTCTCCATGAGATATTCAGGTTGCATCTCCATGAGGCTCTTGAGTGCTCGGCCAGCCCAGGATGTTAACATCCTCCTGTAGTCCATGTTCTTCCCAGCCTGTTTTCTCCCACTTGATCATACGATGAAATTTCTGAATCAAGACATTGCAAGTCTCTGTCTCTGGCCTTTTCCTGGAGTTAATGGAGCCCAGAGAGTTTTGGGCCAACCACTTGATTTTAGTTGGGCTATTTCCACTCTCTACTTGGCTTGTTGACAGAAATCAACCATACCAATGGAGGACAGTGTATTACGAAGAATGCTGAATAATTTGAGATCAAATCTTTAAAATCTGGTGTTCACTAAATCCTTTCCATCTAAGATGATAACCATGAGGTTAAAAAAATAATATTTAGAAGGTAGCGTGAGTCTTCTGCTTTGAATGTAAGTTCTAATTGTGGCTCGAGTGGTAGAGCACTCTCTTTGAGTGCCCAGGCCTAGAGTTGAAGGTCACTACCAACCAAAAAAAAAAAAAAAAAGCTTCTGATTTCCTATGCATCTACCACTTGGGTACAATTACATGGCTAAGATTTTTTTCCAAATTTTAGACAGAAAACTACTTGCTATAAAAATCTCTAGTATTTTCTTGGGGTTCATTTTCAACCTGAATTACTCAGTAACTTGTTTTGTTTTTAAAATTGTAGCCAGAATCCTCGAAAGGCTGTGAAAGTGCAGTGAATGAACTAAAAGGAATACTGGTAAGATTTAATGCTGGTTTATTATTTACTTAATGGGGAAATGAATAATTTTTTTCCTGAATAATTGATTTTGGTGTTTCTATTTACAATTAAAGTCATTGTTATTTGATTGTCCTATGCTAATAACATATAACACATTGCTGTTCCTATTCTAAAAGAATTGTTTCTATTGTGAAATGAAGTCCTTGCTTCCTATTCTTGCCCTAAAATCCTGGCATTGCAGCATCAAGGTCAAGTGTCTGGCCATATGTGCGGATCGATCAGCGTGTGTGAGTAACAGAGCTATAAGAGATGAATAGTGTTTTCCTTTGAGACATGACAGTAGATTTTGAAACATGCAAATCTGAGCTGCCCTCCACCCCCACCCCAGAAGTGTGGACCTCTCAGGGTCATATCCACTTTTCTCACAATTGAAAAATCCTTTGATGAGAACTTAGAGGATAAAATGAGTCCCTTCCCTTACGCCCCCCGGTTTCATTTGCTAAAGCTAACTCTTGTCCACTAGAGAATGGGCATAATGTCCATCTCTATGGTCTTAGTTCTGTTTTCCCAAATGGGAGGTTTGGCCAGTGGCTGCCTTCTCCAGCAGTCGCCCTCAGAGACAAATGCCCTCATGTAGGAAGTGCTTCAGACATTGAGCTCTATTTTCAGTCCCTGTTCCAGTCCAACCCCAGTTATTATGCACAGTAAGTCAACAAACATGGGGGCGGAGGTACAGGACTAAATACTCCCCTGTTTGTTGTTACTGTGCTAATTATGCATTGTACAGAGACATCCACATAATGATGGTAAACAAAATTATTTTCATCAAGCATGTCTTTAAACAGTAGACTTAGCTCAGAATGGCTTAATTAGTTTGCTTTAGTTTTTAAGTGAGTGGGATTAGCCTTGAAGAGGGGTATATCACTGGCTAACAGTGGTGGTCTACCTACAGAAACAAGGATTAAAACCATTGCCTGAGGATGTGGTTATTATCTAATGGATTCTGTGATCAGAAGATTTTTGTTATCCAGTGTTGAGTTAAGGAGCACTCCCTGTGACAGCGCCTTTTGTTGCCTTGGCATTGTTATGCTAATTCATGTTGATGAAGATGTCCCCTGGGGCTGTGCGAGGTGCTGAAGAGCTGCTCTACTCAGCAGTGAAAGTAAACAGTAATGAGTTTAGTTCACTTAGCAAATCAGATGCGTTTATGACGTTCATATTACAATACTTGATTATGCAAAATACTCCAGTGCCTCCTCATGATGCTTGGTGGCAGGTTTATTAATTCAGCTTTACTCTGTGTGCATGTGTGCTGTGTGTGCTTGTGTGTGCTTGTGTGCCTGTGTATAACCCAGGACCGCACATGCTTAGGCTAGTTCTATCACTGACCTACACCTCCAGCTCCAATGTTACTCTTAAATATAATCACTTTCACTTTAATTTTATATCACTTTAAGGAGATAAACAGGAAATTATTTACTTACCTGGCATTGATATATCACCAGTAGTTATTATCCTAGCAATGTTATTTCTTTGCATTAAGGATTTTGCTTTTTTTTGTTGTTGTTGTTTAAGTGGAATTTATGATCCTCTCCCTACTCTTCTTTACCAATTGACACCTCTCCTTTACCTCAATAGAAATTTTTCTTGAGGGGTGGCAGACCAGTAATAAAGTTCTATACAGAAATGGAGAACCAGCAGGAAGAGCCATGTGCTTAGTTTTCCTGGAAAGCAAACACCAGGAGGCAGTTCAGAGAGGAGTATTTTTACTGAGAAGGAATGTGAGCCCAGGCAGAGGTAGAGATTGGCCTGCTGCTCAGCATTTGTACATACCTAGGAATAGGTATGATTGGGAGGAACTAGAAAACCCTACTGTATTTTTTTAGTTGTATAGTTTTCAAGCCAGCTTTGAAGGTGTAAATGTTGTCTGAATTCATTTCCCCCCCAAATTTCTACTTCTAAAGCTATGTATTTTGCAAATTATGTGTGTGTGTGTGTGTGTATGTATGTGTGTGTGTGTAGTGTTTTTAGTCAGACCAAGCTTTTGAGGTTTAGAAATTGAGCCAATCTAAGGGGAAACAGTACTTTTCACCCCCTTTAAAAAAATGGACATAACTTAATCTAAAAGTCTCTCTTTAAGTTCAGTTGGTGCTAAATTAAAGAAACAAAATCTGCTTTACACAAATTCTCACCCCTCTCCCACATCAATTTGATTCATGAACATTTGGCAAGCATGAAAACAGACAGTTTGAATACAAACAGTACTGGTTTGAGAATTAGACCCAAGTTCAAGGTGCAACCCTATCACTGATTTACCATAACATGCTTATGGTAAATCAGCCCAGTCTTTTATGGGAGTCACTGAGTTTGAGTTCTTTCTGGGAAGTGAAGAAATGGTATGCATCTACCCTATGTTGTCAGAGTGAGTTTCCGATTCTTCTATGTTACGATTCTAGTGTAAACAGATAACGGAGAGCTTCTTACTCTGTTAGCTGAGTTCTTTATCATTCCAGCTGAGAGTCCCACAGAAGTCTTTCTGTCCTTCCTCCACAATTGCTTATATATTTAAAGTTACTCCAATATTCTGAGCCAACCACAGTTACAGGAAGAAAGAAGCTGGGACTCAGGGGTTAGGACTTGAAGGATGAATTGCTTCAGTGTCCTGTGCAACAAGAGGACAGCTCACCATAGTCAGAAATTTGGGAAGATGATTCTTTTATCCAAGTAGAAAACTAGGGAACATTGTAAAAGATAAATTCATCAGTAGAGGGTATCCTCTAACTTTTCCTTGGGTTAATTCCACATTGGGATTGGGCAAGGTGGATTACATAGTGGATTTGAGAGTTAAACAGAATAACAGTTTTATATGTTATTAATAATAATAACCTTAAAAAAATTAAAAATATCAGCCAGGCTCTGGTGGCTCACACCTATAATCCTAGCTACAGGAGTCTGAGATCTGAGGATCATGGTTCAAAGCCAACCTGGGTAGGAAAGTCCGTGAGACTCCTATCTCCAATAAAATACTCACAAAAGGCTGGAAGTGTTGCTGTGGCTCGAGTGATATAGTGTTAGCCTTGAACACAAAGACACTAAGGCCCAGAGTTCAAGCCCCAGAATTGGCAAAATAAATAAATAATTTTAATATCTACTTAAAAATAATGCAAATGGTAAGTTTTTTAAAGTTGCAAATACAGGTCCTTAGGGGGATGGTTGTTTGAATACATTCTTTTATCTATTTATCTACTTACCTAAAGTAGCTGTGCTGTTTTCTTTGTCCATGATAATCATTCCTCATTGTATCTCTTCAGTGAGTAACTTCAGACCTGCAATGTGAAATAAACCAAAATGATCTCCCTATTATAAAATCGGCTTTCATAGTATTACATATAAAACAACACCTTAAACTATCCCATATGAGATTTTTGTAAGAACTTTTTGTAAGAACTTTTTTTTGTTTTGTAGGCTAAAGGATGTGGTTACCGTTTCTAGTGAGTAGGATTCTTGGAATCCTTCTGGAAGCTGGCAGAGGTCATAAGGGATCAGGTCATAAGGCAGGTCCATAGTACAGAGTACTTGTCAGCCTTGCTGGACGAAAGCCACCTTCTCATCCTGGCATGAAGCCTGGCAAGTCATACTAGACCTTAAGTTCTTATATCCTGCAGCTAGGAGATCATAGTGCTCCTTTTGCCCCTGCTCCTGAGCCTGCAGCACAGCCAAGGAGCATTTCAAAGAAATCATGGACATTTCTTAGAACAGACTTGAGAAAGAATGTGAAACTCTACATCTAGTTGAGGAAAAGTGTTTCACCATGTTCTGAAGAAACACTTGACTAGAAATGGAGAAGGAAGCCATAGCTCTTCTCTGTCACCTGCTTCCAGAGGGGCCAGAAGGGAACCACAGCTTGGGTCTTTTTCTTCTTGGAACCAAGAACAGTTTCATTGCCTTGTTTCCTTCAATGTCTTCTGGGCACCGAATAGAATATTCATGTCTCCTCTGGTAGGTATACAGAATCAGAGGTCGACCTGTCTGATGATAACTTTCCTCTTCCTCAGGGAAATTAAGGTATACTCGATGTGGCCTTTCTTTGGGTCTGCCACTGGAGACCATTATTACATGCCTCCCTTGCAGCTTTATTACCATTGTCACTAGGCTTGCAGCCAGGGTCCCTCTCTTTCAGCCACAAGGAGTTGGTTCAGTAGCTCATGGCTACCATTTCAAGACAGCCTTCTAAGGTGAGTTTAATATATCCACTTTCTTCTCCATCTGAACATTACACATCAGAATTTACAGCGTCAGTGGACCTAGTCTCTTCCCACTGCTGAGTCTCTTAGGATCAAGCTCATCAAAAGTGTTCCAGTACCGCTCTTCAGAAATGAAGCTAGTGCCTGCACCATCAGTAGCATCTTCCTAAATGATCCTTCACATCGTTTTGTCAAGGATGCGCCTGTTTAAATTAGGCATATATGTTAATATAGAGCAAATTTGTTTTGTTTCTTAATTCTGTTCAAATTCTGATGTTTTGTTGTTTTGCATTTTATATTCTTTTGCATATTAACCTTTTTGTTCTTGTTTTGTTTTGTTTTGTTTTTCACTTTAGGGGACACTTAACAAATCCACTAGTTCAAGAAGCTTAAAATCCCTTGACCCTGAAAACAGTGAAACTGAGTTAGAAAGGATTTTGCGTCGCAGAAAGGTGACGGCAGAAGCAGATAGCAGTAGTAAGCTGGTTTATGTTCTCCACAGTTCTCTTCATCTCGGACATCTCTTCCTTTAAGACGCTTCCTTCTTTAACACAAAATTACCTTTGAAAGATTGTTACCAAAATGTTTTGTTTTTAATGTGAATGAGAAGTATTGGGTGGGCAAAGAGTGCTTAGGATGGACAACTAACAAGAATTCTTACAAATTTTATCTGTTGATGTTTAAAGTTTCTATTTTCAGCTAACTAGGCATTTAAAGCTCTGATTTGTTTATTGTGAGATAATCCAGTGTAAATACATTCCAGGTGGATGTGGGCCACAACATGATATCACATGCAGACTCTGGAAGTAGACTGAGTTTGAATACTGGCTCTGTCATTTACTCTCTGCTTGTCCTTAAGCAAATTACTCAATCTCTTGCTGCTTCAGTTTCCTTGTTTGTCCAGTGAAGATAATAAAAGCACTGTTTCATAGGATTATTCTCAGGATTCAGTCAATACATGGAAAGTACTAACATAGAGTAAGCACACCATACCTAATCAGTCATTTCAGTTGTGGTTCCACACAGTTACAAATGTGAAGAAAGAAATCTTACTCTCCATTAGTTTGTGGCTCTGCCTGTGAACCAATGACCACATGGGTGGGTATTTTTGATTTCACTAAAAATAGTGAGATTGAATTAGAAAGGAGTTTGCATAAGAAAGGTTCCACTACCTACACAGGCCTGAGCTCACAGCATCTTGAGTTTTGTTAATGGTATCACAGACTCAGAATCTGCTCTAGAACAGAGTTTGTGTGGCTTCTGATGCTTTCAGGAGTTTCATCAGGTAAATTAGCAGACCCCTTCATGAGATTTTCCTCTTGTGTCCAGGTAGAAGTTTGGCTTTGAAAAGCTGTTGGCCAGCAGAGATGGCTTAGATACAACTCAGTTAATTAGTCTATTGCATCTATTGAAATCTGCAGCATTACTGATTCATGTTGACCAGATTTAAGTCACTAGAATGGCAAAATCTGGGATTTGATCATCAAGTTCTTGTCTGTGATGATGTTACTGTGATGATGTGCATCTTGCTATACAAATGATTGAATAAATAGTATGTTCCTTAAATCAAAATCAGGAAAATACCAAGCCCAACTTGCATTACAAAAATATGAAAGCCTTGTTTTCAATTATTAAAAATCAGTTGTTCAGTTTTTAGGTTGGCTTGCAAATTGTGTTAAAGTTTTTAAGGATTCTTCTCCCCACCCCGAAATAACCACCTCTAAGGATATTGAAAGAGGTAGCCCCTTACCCCTATATCTTTGTTGAGTGCTTTGCAATTACCAGAAGACTCCATATGAATCACCATTCATTTGGTGCCTGGCTCAAGGCCAGCTTCCCATCATTTAAGTTCGGATCATTTTTAGGACTTTTAGTGCCCTGTCTTTTACATGTGTCTAGCAGTGGAACCTTCCATTCTTCCAGCACCATTCTTACTTTAATGAAGTTGGTCAAACATGTACAACACTCCACTGTTTCAGAGGTGGATAACATACATTCAGTAGAACCATTAGTACATGAATACAGTAAGAACTGTCTTTGGTAATGCAGACAGGAAGTGCCTACTGAAAGAGTAACTTATAATTGAGCAGAAATTTCCTTTGAGCTTTCTAATAGCTGCAGTTAAAGGAAACAAGTGATCCAGGTCTCACTCTTATCATCTAGAAATCACACCATTTTTTGGTTGTATTGTTGGTCAGGTAGACATTTTCCCAGCAACAAACTGGAGGAGCCATTTACTGGATCTTTCTCTAAAGGCCATGAGGTTAAAAAGTGAGAATTCCAGAGGGAGAGAAGGGAAGAGGAAAAGGCTGTTAGTTGCATGGCAAGAGTCCATTATGAGTGCTGGATAGATTTATGCCTCATTGCAATTGGACCTCCAAGATTGTTTCCTATGCTAGGCTTATAAGAGGGATCATAAGAGAGGCAATCTGAGCTATAAGCTCAAATCCCAGGTTAGCGGCCCAGAGGCCAGGGATGACGCATTTTTGCGTGTTGTTCAGTTTTTCTTCTAGGTCTAAGTGATATTTTGCTTTGCCTAGCCTCAGGCCTGCCAAACTGTTATCTTCAAGAGTAGCAGGTGCCTCTTAGAAAACACCAGGTAGCATAAGCAGGGTGAAGTAATATCCTCAGACATTATGTATTTTTATTTTTTATGTATATAAGAAAAACGACAGGGGGGCTGGGGAGGTGGCTCAGTGGCAAAGTGCTTACCTTGCATGCCTGAGGCCCTGGGTTCGATTCCTCAGCACCACATAAGCAAAAAGAAAAAAGCCGGAAGTAGCGCTGTGGCTCAAGTGATAGAGCGCTAGCCTTGAGCTGAGGGACAGCGCCCAGGCCCAGAGTTCAGGCCCCAAGACCGGACCCAAAAAAAAAAAAAAAAAAAATGACAGCATTGACTCAGCTTCCAGCTCTCCCTTCTTTTTAATTGGCCCTACTTGCAGAACAAGATCTCTTGTCTTAACTTCTTACAAGATTCTTTCAAGCTATCTAGTACTGCGGTCAACAATTAACCCAGGCAGAACAGAGCTGAGCTGAAGCCAGTCTTGAACTTGACTTCACATCTATGTCTGGGGGCTTGCTCTCTTCACCTCTCCTTCTCTTTACTCTCGTACCCCCATGCAACTGGAGGCTCTCCATAGCTGAGAAGTAAAAGCCTTTTAAACAGAACATTAAGTAGTGTCACAAATCTGCCGCCAGCCCTCTAGCATAGATGAAGGTAGGAAAGAAGTCAAACATGGGTGCTTTGTGGGCTGGGTTTTTCACCAGACTGAAAGGGTTCTGGTTCTTCCACATGGAGTCAGCCTGAGCGGGGTGGGGGGTGTAAGTGGCGGGGGGAAGGTGTTCAACAGAGGGATGATTTTCCTCTCTCTCTTAGGTAGTTTTTCAAATTAGATTTTCCAGAATTCACATATTGACGCCACAGTAGGTTATCAATCACATACAGAGGTAAGCGTGAGAATCAAATTCCAGAACTATATACTACTGATCGGGCATCAGTTAACATTTTGGGTTGTATTACCAACTAGAAAACTGTCTTGGGAGATGATCTGCCCCTTTCAAGGTTGTCCCCTAACTTTATTTTTTAGGGGGAATTTAATTTGTATATTTGTGATTTATTTACTCTCGAAGCAGGTCTGAAGTTTCAGGGCACATCTACTCGAATCTCACTTTGAAACCTATCATATTGGATAGAATCTTTGTGCCTAAAAGTAGAGTGAAGTCACAAAGAATCTAGTTGTAGTGACCAGGATTTTTAGACTGAATGCCAATAATTTCAGTAACAAGCCCTATTGTAGTTTTCAAATCCTGTCCAAAGAGCAGAGAAAGTCCAAAAGGTAAACAGCCAAACTCTTTTGCCACTTAATTTTTATAATCCTGTGTCTGTATTTTAAGAGGCAATAAATCCACTTACTTCTCATTCACATTAAAATGAAAATGTTCATAAAAGCTGTTTAATGCTCAAGAAGCCTTCATGAGCCTTTTAAAAAGAACCTTTTGACATTGGTCCATTTTCTGTTTCAAATGCGGAGCTGAGTTTGAGGAAGAATTAACTCTTGAGAGGCAAAATGGTTCAAGCAGGGTTGTCAGAGAGCCACATTCTGGGAGAAGAAAAGAATTCCCACAATTCCAGTATTGCAAAGGACTCTGGCCAGTGAGGGACCCCTAGCCTGATATTCTGTGGCTTCTTAAAAGGTCTGTGCACAATCTCAGCATGGCTGGGGTGCATTGAAAATGTAGTAGTGTCCCCCAAGCCGAGCAGGTTGTTAGTAGGGACATTTTCCAGCATGTTCTTGAAATTTCTAACAAACTTGGCCTTTTCACTTCTTGAGGGATTTTTTTCCAAGCTAATATGTTTTTCAGTGTCATATTAATAAGCATCACGCCGAATTATTAAACTTCAGGTATGTGTTTGGTTTTAAGGTCCTACCGGGATATTAGCCACGTCAGAGTCTAAATCCATGCCAGTGTTGGGTTCTGTATCCAGTGTAACAAAAACAGCCTTGAACAAGAAAACTCTGGAGGCAGAATTCAACAGCCCGGCCCCTCTAACACCTGAGCCAGGTGAAGGGTCCTATAAATTGGAAGGATGCACAAGTTCCAAGGTTACATTTCAGTAAGTAATGATGCTCTTTATTAAGTAGTATGTAGAAGAAATCTGTCATGACTAACCTGTATTGCTTTGGTTTGTTTCTCTTGGAAGAGGTTTTGATTTGGCTAGCCAAGACTCTTCTTCCTTTGATGAGCCAGCTCCTGCTTCTAAACTTCTAGCTCTGAGCTGCCCTTGAGATTCAAAGCACATAGTGTGTCTAAAGAGAATCCCTTCCCCTAAACTAGTTTGTTCATTTTCTTCTCCTTCATCACAAAGAGCCGCCCTTCTGCATCAGAAAACAATTAAGTCTGAAAAGTCAAATGCTTAGATCATTCCTTTAATGGTCCCTGAGCAGCCAGAGTAGGTACTAGATCTTCACACTACTTTGGAGGGGACCTTTGTTCAAGTTTACTTTCTGAAAGATGTGCCTTCATATTGCTGGATCCTGAGAACGGAAACATACTATGTAAAGAATTATTTACACAGACCCTCTTCCAAAGTGGCACTTTGTCAGAGTTAATCCTGCAGTGAAACGTGTTTCCGACAGGTCTAGTGGAGGATCAATTTGTTTTATAACAATGGCAAGCTCCTTTTTAAATTAGTCTACACTTGAGCTTTAGTTCTCTTGCCAGGATATCAGCTAGTTTGTCACTTCAAGAAAAGGAAGAGGTGAGACAAATCAGATCAGCCGAATATTGTAATCACAGTTAATTAAACCTTAAATTTCCTGTTCTGTCAAGAGAGAAACAGCCCCCCACCCTGCTCTGCTTTTTTTTTTTTTTTTTTTTTGTAGCTTTGGATATCTTGAAGAGCTTAAAAGGTACAACTTGGACAAATGACATTGAAATTCAATTTGGTTCTATTTTTACCAACGGGTATTTTCTTGCTCTCTTTGCTTTTCTCTCTATTGGTACTATTAACTTTTTCCGCCTTCTTTGCTGATTTAGTTTTATCTAATATCATTGTGTTTAAAAGCACATTTTCTCCTGCAGTCATGGGCTTCCTTTCTTTTGACTGCAGCTATTTGCACAGTTCTAACAGGAAGATGATCTATATTCATTCTTCATCTTTCCTATTAAATTTGTTTAACACCTAATTTGACATCAACAATCTGGCTGCATTTGAACCAATATCCAGACACAAAAGCAATTTGGCTGAGACAAGTTGGTTTTCTGAGAAATGCTTCGGTGTGTGTGTGTATAGATTTTTTTTCCTCTACCATTTTACACAGATAATCTTAATCAGAAAATACCACAACTCTTTCCTCCCTTTTGTCTGCCTTTTATTCTCCAAAAGTAAGTGGAAATTACATTTCCAAGAAGGAAATGAAATAATTGCAGGCCCAAGGTCTGCAAAATGTGTGCTGAATTGACAGTGAAAAGGATCCGTGTGTTGACAGACACAGTTGTTAGATGCCATAAAGGCCGAAGTGAAGCTCAATTTATTTCTCATCTTGCTTGTTCAATGACTGCTTAAGAGACACATTTCAATTTAATTTATCTACTTAAAGCACTAATATAAGTACCGGGAGCTGCTGAATTAACTTTTAAACTTTGTAACTTAATGCTTGATTATTCAGTTCTTGACATTCTTTTAGCTGCAATAATCAGTGCCATAGATTTGTACATCAACAATCTGTTAGGAAATAAGAATGCTTTTCTGGAAAGTCTTATCTCTTAAGCACAGCTAGGCCAAATGAATCCAAGAATTCCACGTCTATACAGGGTATCTATTCACTCCCCAGACAGGCACACTTCATCCTCTTAAGTTTTCACCTAGCTTTTTGATGGAGTAAAAGAAGTTGAACTTAGCCCAGTTATCTGTGAACTGTAAAAGTGAAAAATCTGGTGATTTGTCGATTTCCCCTGAAGCTGACCTAGCTACCAGAAGGGACAAGGGTGATTTTTCAGGTCTAATAAATTCACTCTGTTATACTATTAAAGTGGAGGAGACGATATATCCTCCCTTATAGACCTGAGCTAGCAAAGCACATGGATGTCAGGTCAGTGATTAAGAAAGTTCAATACTTCTTTCCCTTTGAAGAAGTATCTTGGTGCTCTAGTAGTTACTCCCTCTTTTTTTGTTGTTGTTGTTGGCTGTCGGGCTTGAACTCATGGCCTGGGTCCTGTCCCTGGGCTCTTTTGCTCAAGGCTAGTGCTTTGCCACTTTGAGCCACAGCACCACATCCAGTTTTCTGGTGATTAATTGGAGGTAAGAGTTGAAAGTCCCACCTGGCTTTGAACCACAGTCTTCATATCTCAGCCTCCTGAGTAGTTAACGACTAACAGGCATGGACCACTGGAGCCTGGCTGCTCCCTCTATTTTTGTCCATGGCAAAACCATGATGGTGTTACAAGTAGATGGAACGACCAGTTCTCACCAGGAATCAAGGTCAAGGGAGAATGCCAGTCATAGTGGCTCTAACACATCTGTTATTGCCCCCGTGTACATATGTGTGCATGTGTGGACAACACACATAGACACACACTCACTGTTTTCACCTCCCTTCCTCCCTCTACTTTGGCCTTCTTGACCAAGTCTGATTCCACTGTTGGCCCTTTGCTGGTGCCTTTTTCTCTGTCTACTTTGGTATTCCCTGTGGTTGCCTGGCTGACTGACCCCTCAGCTCCTCTGTTCTTTGCTCTGATGTCATAATCTCCAGGTGCTCTCCCTGAATAAAGTTGTAACCATCTTCTCCTGAGCTCTGATTCCTCCATCTACTCCACAGCGTTTACCATTTCTGATACATCATCTACTGTACTATATTTTTGTTTCTTCCCTACAGTTATTTGTTTTTCTCTCTCTGGGAATGGAAGCTCCATGAGGGTAGAAATTTTTCATCTGTTTTGTTCATAGGTGTCTCTCAAACACCTGAGACATTTCCTGCCAGGTGGCCAGCTGACAATAAATGAATAGATGAGCACATTTTCACTGTCAGTAACATGGTGGATATCAATTAATGAGACTGTTCAGCTAGCCAACATTCTCTAAGCATTCAGCAGTCATACACAAGCACAAATTAGGAGAGATATTTGTTGATTTTTTTATTTATTCGTTTTTTTAGTACTGAGGTTTGAACTCAAGGCCTCATGCTTGCTAAGTATGTATGTATTCAATCCCATTTTCCACTGGTTGCTTCTGAGATAAGAGTATTGCTTCCTGCCAGGCATGTGTCTGGACTATAATCCCCCTATTTTAGGGTTCCTGATGTTGCTGAGATGCAAGGATACAATGCTATATCTAGCTTCCTGCCATCAAGATGGAGTCTCGTGGATTTTTCTGCTTGGGCTGGCCTATAAGTGTGATCCTCCTGATCACAGTCTCCCTCATAGCTTAGGATGACAGGCATATACCTCTGCACCCACCTATGACATGAAATAGGGTCTCTCAAATATTTCTGTGCGGGCTAATCACAGTTTTACCAGTCTCCACTAGGATTACAAGGGCATGATTTTGTAAACAGCCATCATTTACATTTAGCTCAGTCTTGTCTATCTTCTTTACCTTTGTACCTACTCGAGACAGTTAATAGAGCTCTGAGGGAAAAAACCTAGGTATAACACAAGATTCAGTAATGTCCACTGAACTGGTTCAGATAGGCTCAAAAGATGGCTAACCCACCAGAAAGGTTGTAAATGTGAACATAGAATAATGTTTCTTCATGATGTCTTAATCATAAATAACTTTCCAAGCTATCCCTTGACAATTCTTTTCCTTTCAATAAACTTCTGAAATTAACCTGTGCAATCCATATACTTGAGTAATTATTGTCCATAAACTATAAATTCAGAAATATATTAGTTCATTTTTCTAGGGAACTTCCAAGAGGAAAAAGGACATTTTTAATAATTAAAAGAATTAATAAAAAAAAATAATGTCACCTGCATAAGCAAAGCAAGTTTCTTTCCCTGCCTTTTCTTCTCTCTCTCTCCTTCCCTCCCTCTTTCCCTTCTCCTTTCCTTTCTTTCTTCCCCTCTCCTCCCCCTCCCTTAACACAAAAGAAAAGATAATCAGGGCTTGGGGAAGTATAAGTCACTGTTCTACTTTAATAATAGCCTTAAAAATACTTGCATCCTGTTACTTATAATGTCTCAAATCATAGTGAATTTGAATCTTGTTAATTCTGATTGGCAGTAGTTCATACAAGAATTGTGGTTATAATCTCCTTTTATGCTGAGAAAGATAAAGAGTGAGCCAAAGCAAATAAGACTGTGTGATCCTGCATTTTGCCTTTGTGCTCTTTCCTGTTGATCTGTGTTGTTCTGCTAATATTAAAGTGCAGTAAGAGTCCTTGAATCAAGATAATCAATGGGTAGGATGATCAATACAAAAAAGTGAAAATTTTACATTGTAGAATTGTTAAAGAAAACAATCATAATACTTTCAAATAGCTGTAGTGCCCCCAAAGTAGACTAACCAAGTATTGCAGAGGATCAGATACAAGAATGGTTTGTATCTTAATTTATGAAAGCCCCCAGGCAGGGGGAGGGAGTTAATAACTAAATTTAGTCACCCCTCCTGTAGGTCAAGATAGAGCAATTTATAGAACTTTTAAGGGCAGCAAATGCTAGCCCTTTGAATAGAGACCAGTCATTGAAAGCAGTGGACATTATTGCATATATAAGCTGTCTTTTTTTTTTTTTTTTTTGGGTCCAGTCATGGGGCCTGAACTCTGGGCCTGGGCACTGTCCCTCAGCTCTTCAGCTCAAGGCTAGCGCTTTACCACTTGAGCCACAGCGCCACTTCCGGCTTTTTTCTTTTTGCTTATGTGGTGCTGAGGAATCGAACCCAGAGCCTCAGGCATGCAAGGCAAGCGCTCTACCACTGAGCCACCTTCCCAGCCCCTATATAAGCTGTCTTTGAATTTATTTCTAATATTCCTGTCCTACAACCCCAGCAGTGGCTTGCCAAACCTGCCCCTTTCCACAACTGCATGAGTGGGAAGGAGCATCTGGTTATTTCAAGACTTGAGCTTTACACTTAGATTGCCTAGGGATTCAGGACTTGGATCTATTTATTGTTAT